GCAATTCGATGTCACCCTGAACTATATCTCTCATACTAATCAGTGTTTGTTGGTAATGGAGGGATTTGAGCTTATGCTTACCGATTATACATTTGATACAAACATCTCTCGTTCGGCACCCCATGGAGTCTGGGCTTATATCTGCTGGACTATGCGGGGATCGATCCGTATGGCTGGTTGCAAATCCTCCATGACTACCACAAGTGGTACATGAAACTATGTTCTTTTGTCAGCGTCATATCACTTATCGCGAAGTAAATACCTTCTGTGTAGGTTCTCTTTGGCCAAATAGGGTATAAGGGGATTCGTGGTGGGGAGTATGGGGTGTAGTGTGTAAAAGAGCCCAGTGAGCACTCACCGAGATACTCGCAAGATAGTGTCCATCTCGAGTGCCATAGGTACCAGAACAAAGCCCAATACTCTGAGTCTCGTCGATGCATAGGTGGTCATCTAAACATCAAGGCAGACCACAAGGGAAGGGCAAATGACAGCCTCTCAGCAGGGCTATGGGGTGTATACCAGGTGCTAGTATTTCTGGACTAGACTCCACTTACCAGGAAGAAAAGCACGAGAACAAGGATCTTCGTCGTAGTGAGGTGGTATAATGTTTCGTAGTTGTTACGGCTACTGGCGAATGGGAGGGAGAGAAAGAAGAATCATTGTTGTTCAATCTAGCAATGTCTCAGGCGAAGTCCATAATCTCACACGTTCCGCCTCGTTCTTTCCATAATACCTGGTTCTTACCGTATTTGAATTAGCGAACAATATCATCATAATAGCCCCGGAGCACCCCCGGGGCCATTTACCATCTCACGTCAGTGCATCATCTATCCATTCTACCTGGGCAGCCACTTCCGACTTCCTAAGTTTACTTCCTATGTCCCATCCTCAGCCCATTTCTGATCTCACCAGAGTTCCTATGATCAGGTCTTCTATATGATGTCACCTTCCACTCAGGTTGCTCGAAAACCACTCACGCTGATTCCACATATTCAACCACCAGATTGGGCATTCGCCAACTGATCTTCTGGCCTTCTATCAGATTCGAAACTTTCGAACGGCGGCTCGATGCAACAATGACAAAACAGAAATAACGGATCTGCAGCCCCAGACAGAAAATTAGACATGCCTAGAGCGGCTACTGGTTGAGCTTTTGTTGTCAAAACCCGACTTTCTCCTTCCTAAACGTATGTTTTATCTCGCCCTGTGTAGCTCCCACCTTTTGTGACTCTTTGTCGTCGAAGAAGCAACATCAAATTACCCGAAGGGAGCGGCAAGCTGCGGTTCTTTCAGATATACCGAGTCATTTCGTTTGCTATTGTTGCATTCCTCTCCACAACTACGTCGAGTCGGAATGTTACAAGCTATCACATCCGCGGCTCAGTTCAGAGCACCCATTTTCTTGTGTGCGAGACGCTAAGTGGGTACATGGGTCTTGGTTGCATAGTTACTACACACTTTACTTTCTACATATGCAGCTTACAATGCAGCGTTTCCTCAACGGCCAGAGTCCGGTATGACTTGTGACGCACTAGCATATACCCAGGTGAGGGAAGACAGCGATGGCAACACGCTGTTTTCATTGGAGGAACGTATATGCTCAGTGGGTGGGACAGACTCAGGCTCATCATTACTAGCACACTCGGCCACATCCTCTTCCTCTGGGGTACTGGGCCTTTGTCTACATGTTCAAGACATGGTACTGGCAGAACGTGACAATATGCATCTCGTTGGGGCTTTGCGCATAATGGGCATAGCTTCCAATATTTTATAGATTTGCAAACATATATCATACCAGGATTTGCCCTACTTAATCAGCGACTTGGTCGCGGATCAAAGAGCAAAGTAAACAAAGTCCATTAGAAAGATAGCCCTGGCTCCAGCTCAAACCACACCACGAAGTCTTCCATTCGTGGCCATAATGTGTTAGAAGCTGCCCTGGCGCCACACCCGTAGCTGGGAAGGTGGAGGCTACTTCAACCACCCTTGGTGAAACACTCCTATAGCAATATAGTTACTCATTTGTCGAGTTGGTGTCCAACTTGAATATATCACAAATACAACACTCTGGCCATGGAGATAAGTCGGTGATTTGAAAGCTCGATCATTTTATAGGGGTGGTTTCCTTATCGCTCGCTGACCTTCATTGTCCATGTTGTAGGTGATGGTACCAAGTTAAGAAAATGAACCGACACAACATAGGTACATAGAATCTTTGTCATTTCTAATATATTTCTAATATTGTCAAGAAACTGAAGACTAATCCGGAGTACCTGTTGTATGGGAAGCCCATAGAAAATGTAGTTCCATTAGTCGCGGTGGAGACGGGAGCGGAGAGCATCCTTGCTGAAGAATGGATAAAGAGCAGACCCGACTGTAAACTGTACGCCCGCGGAATAGAGATGTGCACGTAAGTTGTGGAAGACTGAGCTAAAAGTACTTTGTCTATAACTAAGTAAAAAAAGACAGCTAATAGTTTCAAGAACCTCAGGCCGCGGCGGCGAAAAATACATAATCACGTGACCTTGCATTTATTCGTAAGGCCCGATAGGGACCTTGCCAGACTTGATACATAGATCTACTACTCTCGGTGATATCACATAAACTCCGGTGACACTGTACCGGATGTATTCGTCAATGCAACACGTCCGGCTGTCAGTTGCACGCCCTTGTCGATTTGTTGCTCGCCGCCGCTATTCCGCACCGTTGTCCGCGCGACGATTCCACCTGTCACGAACATGGCTCGCATCACCGTCCCAAGACCCTCACGATGCCGCGTCTACAGCGCCAGGGAATGCTGTGGAAGACCCTTTCCTCAAAACTGAGAATATCTCTGACAATGGTACGCCGGCGACATCTCCCTCTGCCGAGTCGGTCAAGTCGATCACCAAAACCTACGGGTCTGCTGTACGCAGAGCGATGCGAAACCGAAAGTCCGCGCAGCAGACTTCCACATCAACGACGACCGTTCCCGCATGGTTCTACGAGCACAATAAGGTGTCTCACAGCTCAGAAGGTCGCTCTACACAATCACTACAACAGGTTACGATTACCAAGTCAGTGTCACAAAAGGAGCCGGAGGAGGTTCAAAGTGAAATCCAGGCTTCCGGGGGAGATTCAGACCCAGCTGTATCCAGCGAACCACCGGCAACATCAGAGAATCGGTATGCGGTGGCCGAGGAATCATGGGAAGAGCTGCGGGCCTCCGTCAAAGCAGGCTTGCGGTTACCACCTGCAAAATATGCCAAAGAGCCTTCAGTGAAGAAGTCGCATTTGGCGCTACACTACCCGGGTACTGATGGTATACCATTCTTAAACGCGGTGGTGAAGAAGCTTGCCCACGAGGTGGGCACTGACCTGGTGACCCTTAATGCCCAGGACATTGCACAACTGTTCAGTGAGCAAGATCTCGCAGATGTCGGAGTGACTTCGCCCATTCGATCTCTCGGCTATGATGTATATCGGCAATCCGTCCCAACTTCATGGTCGGAACTTGAAGACCCGGAAGGAGAGGGCGAGGATGACGTGGCTGAAATTGGAGGAGGTCCCCGTGGTATGCGCGGCGATATTGGCACACCTCGTTTTATCACAATCGAGAGCAGCAAAGAGGCAGGTGATATCCCGCTTCCCAACTGGCTTGGGCTGAAAACCCTCCTGGGGGGATCTATCAATGGTCAAACGGATCCGGATCCCGGGGCCGGTGCCTCACGAAGTGGTCAGCGCGCTGAAACTCGGTGGATTCAACTAGTCAATGAGCTTCTTGGCTCACCAACTCAACCAGCATCATCCTTGCCAGTCCCCAATGGAACAACAGAAACTGCCGAAACGAAAGCCAGCAAGGATTTGCCATCTCCGGACATTATTATGCATATCCAGGACTACCGTGATATTCAAAATACCCGAGAGGGATCTAAATTCATTTCACTCTTGCACAAAGTTATCCAAGACCGGAGAGGCGCAGGGTCCAAGATTCTGTTGATAGGAACTACCTCGCAGGAAATCCACCACTCGCCCTCACAGGATGGTGCTGGTCTGCTGCAAAGTGTTCTCGATGATCAGTTCTCGAAGACCTTGTTCATTACGCCTGCCATGAGCTCGAAAGACGCCGAAAAGGTCTTCGCCGAAGACCGAAAGAAGCGCACCATGGACATTAATATTCGTCACCTGCAGAGCATGCTTCGCTTCCGATTACATGAACACGCTCTGCCGGTAAAAGACAATATCATGAGCGACCGCGCTTGGCCGCTGGAACCTTCAACTATCAAAGAATCAGGGATCCAGGATCGGTACTGGTCGTACAATCAAGTGCATTGGATTTCTACCCTTGCACTTGGCTGCGCTGAAGCCAACGAACCCCTTGGGTTTGAGCACATCCGACGTGGAATCGAGCTCATGGATAAAAGCGACCGAGTTACCAACGAGTGGCTGAAAGAGAAGTCACCCAAGCAGAAAGATTCGGAAGCGGGACAGACCAGAGAGCAGCTGATCAGCTCTTTGCGCAAAACGTGCAACACGCACGAGAAGAAGCTGCTTAACGGTGTCGTTGACGCCAAAAGTATCCGAACCACATTCAATGATGTGCATGTGCCACCCGAGACCATCGAAGCTCTGAAGACGCTGACTTCCCTCTCACTCATCCGCCCCGAGGCATTCACATACGGTGTCCTCGCTACCGATAAGATCCCCGGTCTTCTCCTATATGGACCTCCAGGCACCGGTAAAACGCTCCTCGCCAAAGCTGTAGCCCGCGAGAGCGGAGCAACAGTCCTCGAAGTCAGCGGGTCTGAAGTATACGACATGTACGTCGGCGAGGGCGAGAAGAACGTGAAAGCGATTTTCACACTTGCCAAGAAGCTTAGTCCCTGCGTCGTCTTCATCGACGAAGCGGATGCCATCTTCTGCTCACGCACCGGAGCCAGCAGCCGCACACCTCCCACCGCGAACTGATCAACCAGTTCTTGCGCGAGTGGGACGGCATGAACGACCTCTCAGCATTCATCATGGTCGCCACAAACCGACCCTTCGATCTGGACGACGCTGTCCTCCGCCGTCTTCCCCGCCGTCTACTAGTCGATCTACCAACCGAGGAAGACCGCGAAGCAGTCTTGAAAATCCACCTGAAAGAAGAACAGCTCGAACCCTCCGTCGACCTTGCCGAACTCGCCCGACGCACCCCGCTGTATTCTGGCTCCGATTTGAAGAATCTGTCGGTGGCAGCTGCACTAGCTTGCGTTCGCGAGGAGAATGATGCAGCGGCTAAATACACCGGTGACGAGCCATATAGCTACCCGGAGCGCCGCATTCTGACTCGTGCGCATTTCGAGCGTGGAATGGAAGAAATCAGCGCTTCGATTAGTGAGGATATGTCTTCGCTGTCGGCGATTCGGAAGTTCGACGAGCAGTACGGTGATCGAAAGGGTCGTCGCCAGAAGAGTCCTGGGTGGGGATTCATTCCTGGTGCTAGTGGTGAGGCTTCGGCTGATTCGGCGCGTGTTCGGACATGATTCTTTTTTGTTGGAGGGTTATTTTACGTGGATTGGGGAAACTGGGGATTCCCTATGTACTTTTAGCGATATGATAGACCTGTACCATTACTCAAAGTGTATATACTGCCATCACTTTCTTGGGCAATAACAATTTGTATTATTTCATATATTCAGATGCTTCAGTTTGGTTTTGCAGTGGGCTAATGGTCAAATGCCTTGCTCTTGAGGGGGTAGGGGGGTAGAATAATTCCACATGGCGAGATACATTCAACATCCGGCTTGCTACTTTTCCAGACATCTAGAGGAACGAAATTCTGACCGGAAGAAGCACTGCCGGAGCCCGTACAGGTGCCTTCAGGACAATATCCGTGACTGCATGCGACGTTGCATAGCCCAGCATCCTCAAGACCTTCAACTGGGGATCTCATAACACTAATAGTATCCGGGGACTATATCAAAGCGCCTTGTGCAGTGCAAGTGCATACATTCCTAGGACAGACCCCATCATTACCGCTAAAGCTGCAAAGACCGCACGACTGCAAAACCTCTGTGACACCTCGGCAAAGTCCAGCACAGCCTGGGGTGTTTTGGCTCGCGAGACGATGTCTGGTATACCTTTCTCACCTTCGTTTGAGTCTCCCAGCAGCCTCGACACGCTGTTTGCCGATACGGCAAGGATCGAAATCAGATTCACCACTTTGCTCTCATAGAATATTTCTCGAACCCCATTCCGAAACACTCCTTTTTTGATTTGGCTTAGTTTTGAGTATTGAATCGTATTGAAAGAGGCTGTCACGTTATGAAAGGTTCTATAAATTACTTATACTACCCTTATCAAAATAGCTGACGGCTCTCCTTCTGCTTATCCTTCTCTTGCGCTGCTCATCGAAGTGCTGTTTATCTTTTTCCATCACTAATTCAATCTATGATGAGAAATCTCGTTTGGGGAAGCTAACACAGCAGAAATTGCTCTCTGACCATGGGATATTTGATTATCTAGCTTGTCTGAAATTTTTATTCAGGCTCTCTGTTACCCCTTTCAGCATTGTTTCAGAATGAAGTACTCGCATGGTTTAGGCCGAGCCTTTGCTTCTTTGCTGGTGAGAAGCTTTGAGAAATTGGTCGGAATTTGCCTATAATCTCCGGCTGCAGAATAGCCAAGGCTGCTTGGCTCTGACTCTAATCGTATATAATTAAAGGAACTAGATCAGACAGCCCCAGATATGAATCTGACATTGAATCCCAGGCTAATATGCCAACATCCCAACACTGAAATTCCCTTGTCTGCCCCTCTTCTGTCTTTCCTTTTCTACTAGCGCTGAAAGTGTCAAAATAACCATAATTTCCCATTGTCCATCCAATTTTCTCTTAAACTGCAATGTACTGTCTTTGCTGGCTCCCGGTGCAGCCCCGGCATACACAGCATACACCTCGAATTTGTCTGCATCACAAAGTTCTAGGTTCAGCCTGCCGCAGGAGTCGGATGTAGGCGTACGCTCCCCTCTTCTCCATATAAAGTGTTGCTCTTCTTGTGTCCTCACATCATGTTGGTGAGGAGAATATGACCAGCAATAACTACCACGATCTCCGACCCATACCATTTTGGATGGATGCGCATCAAACGAGCGAAAATTTATTTGGGATGTGCGGAATTTGTTGAAGTGACAGGTGCCAAGAGCATGGCTGCTCTTGTCGATCCCATTAAGAATTTCGACTTTTGTGTTGTCGCTAAACAGACCCGAAATTTTAATCGAATAAAGAGGATTCCGGTCATCTTCAGCGGAGAAAACTTTCATGTTCGTGCGCATGGCTCCTGTGCGCACTATAACGAGATCGTTTTGATGGGGTCGAAACTTGGGAGGATTGGCACTAGGTACTTCGTTGCTAACAGAATTCGTCCATGTTTTCGAGTCTTTTGAAAGAGACACATGGCTGCTTGAATAGACATTGGTATTGCCGGTTTGAGGCATGGTGGAGGAAAAATCGGCCAGTGGTACAAGTAGACCAACTCGTATCTAAGAGGTGTATTTGGCAGATGGTAGTTATATAACAGATTATTCTAATTCTCAAATGCAATGCAAGCATCTATTATATGGCGGCTCTTCCCATCAAAGACCCATAAGACGCTAAGCTCAAGAGGTCAAATCAGGCGATTTACACCGCCACTACGGGGCTCAGTTTTGCCCTGTCTCATAACATCCTTTTACGAATGGAGTCAAGCATGCGAATCCAAAGGTATTTTAGACTAAACCTAACCTAGTCATCTCTGTAACCAACTATTTGACTAGTTAGCTTAATCAATGCCGTTTATTATTGTGTCGGTTGTCTAGCTACGAAGTTCAACAGCGGCACGGCCATACTTGATTTACCATCCGGATGAGGATTGAGTGTGAAAAGCTCCCAAATCTTTGATCGAATTCGACTCGGTCTTCAATTCGAACTCATATGATTTGAATCGAATCAAACCAGGCAAAAGTTCAATTAAATTCGATTCCTGTAAATTCGGATCCTACAGGGCGAATCGCACCGGCAGTCTGCCTTACACAGCCACAACGCACCAACCAACCCTATACCTAGTCACATGGATGTAAGAACATCAAGAATTCAAAGATCTTTGAGCTGTGCTATGTATATCTGCTCATCAACTGAACATGCCAAGTTGCGATACCAAACAGTATGACGAGCCGAAAACGACGTGTGCCTTTCTGGGCCAAGATCCCACTGGGCATTCGCCTTTGCCCGTGTATCATTTTCTACGTTCTCAAAGATATCAGAGAAGAGAGGAAAAAAAAGAGAAATGAGCTGCGACCAAAAGCTAGGCGACAAGGCCAAGGTTGGACCCTCGTTTTTCCGAGGGAGGGTTGAACTGGCCCTTCGGATCCGGAGGATAGATTTAGTTTGGTCTTGACTAATATCCAGAGAAAAGTATCCATATGCAAGTATGGTCTCCTAGCTTCATCTCCCTCATCGCCAACAGAGACCACAGCGCTAATTGTGTGCATCATGCTTGTGGGGCTTGAATAAGAAATGAAGTCTATCAAATTATTGGGAAATGATGCAAAACACTCACCTTGGGATGTAGTTGATTGGAATGCTAGACACTGAATGGGGCTCCACCTTTATCTACTGTCTAGTCGCATTCTTGATACTCGAAAAAGGAGGTTGGAAAAGCCTATGTACATACTCATCTTTGAATGATTATCATACATGGCCCCTAAACTAAGGATTAATATCTCAAGGGTCCAAAGCATCGAACAACCTGCTAATTTAGGCTGAAACTCCAATGCAGTAAGCATATCCAGCATAGTCTGACATGGAAAGCGTAAAAAGATAAGGATCGCAATTCAGCTCTTTGGTCAACGCAAAGGTGCATCCATCCGAGATAGAGGCTGTGGCGTTGGTTCCATACTCATATAGACCAATCTGCGCCATGACAGACGCGACGTCAGTGATAACAAATATAGCACTGAATTTCATGGCTGCAGCTGTTCTCGAAATCTTCTGAGGTACCGTAAAAATTATTGACAATTCAGAACAGCAGGTGGAGGGTGTGATCAACAGGGATTTTGGGGCGAAAAGGTTCCTTCATACACTAGGATATGCCATTGCATGTGCAACCAGAGTATGTAGACTTGTCGAAAGAAGTTGAAGCTTAGTGAGAGCGACCTCATATCTCTTGAATACTTCTCTCGCGTCTTTTCTTCTTTTTTGGCATCTTTTTGATGTATTCTAGAGTACCGTGTCATACAATCTTTGGTGCCTTGCATTGTTATATGCCCCAAAATGAAGTACTGGGCTATACTTTTACTCGCACTATGGTGCTGTCCCTGTCTTGGTCAGGACTATACCTGTAGCGCCGACAAACAATGTGAACTTGGCTGCTGCTCAAACACAGGAGTCTGTGGAATGGGACCTGACTTTTGCGGGGACAGCTGCATATCCAACTGTGATAGCAAGTCAGATTGTAACCCAGGTTGGGGCATGAAGGTAATTGTCACCCAACCCCAAGTCAAAGTTATTGAAAGAGCTGACTCCATCAAGTGGTCCGCGGCAAACAACTGTCCCCTCAACGTGTGTTGTTCTGAATATGGCTTCTGTGGTACCACCAAGGACTTTTGTGGCAATAAAACCATCGAGTCTCCCAGTTGCTCTGGATCTAGCGCTTCTAAGCGTACAATTTGGATACTATGAGAGCTGGGGAATTACTCGCAAATGTGACAAAATGTACCCTGAATGTATGTCTCCCTCGCTCACATACATCTTGCGCGTAGCGGTATTAATATCAGACAGCAATTCCTCTTGGATCATACACACACCTAAATTTCGCCTTTGCCTTCATCGACCCTACTTCATTCAAAGTCGCCCCGATGGATAGCAGGGATGTTGGATTGTATAAAAGATTCACTGGGCTCAAGAACCTTTATCCTGACCTCCAGACTTGGAGGTCCATTGGAGGCTGGAGCATGAATGGCCTTTATCAGCCCACTGCTACCACCTTTCCAGACCTGGCTGCATCAGAGTCAGCGCAGAAAAATTTCTTTGAATCCTTGGTTTCCTTCTTGGAGACATACGGCTTTGATGGTATCGATCTTGATTGGTATTGACCTCCCTAACCCCTTCATTGGTAGTCACACCACTCACAGTGCAATATAGGGAGTATCCAGTAGCTGAAGAGCGCTCAGGAAAAGCCGCTGACTACAAAAATTACACTTCTTTCCTCAAGATTCTCCGTAATGCCCTCGCGTCAAGTGGGCATACATACGGTCTTACCATCACCATTCCATCCTCTTACTGGTATATGCAACACTTTGACATTGTCGAGATCGAGAAGACAGTTGCCTGGTTCAATATCATGTCCTATGATCTGCACGGCATTTGGGACAATACCAATAAATATCTTGGCCCTTATATCAATGCTCGCACCAATTTAACCGAAATCAACTTGGCAATGGAGCTCCTTTGCCGCAATAAGATTGACCCCGACCATGTCGTTCTTGGTCTGGGCGTTTATGGCCGGTCATTCACTCTCGCCGATCCCAGTTGCAACACCCCCGGATGTATTTTCTCAGCAGGGGGTAATGCAGGGTCTTGCACGGACTCAGTCGGAACACTCTCATACTCAGAGATTAAGAGTGTGATAGATAAAGGCAACGCCAAAGTGTCCCTAGACAGGAAGGCCGCCGTCAAAATGGTCACTTGGGGCGAGAACCAGTGGGTCAGCTATGATGACGAGGAAACGCTCAAGCTGAAGCTGGACTATGCTAATAATTACTGTCTTGGTGGTACCATGGTATGGGCCGTTTCAACAGATGATTCCGAGGGCACAGTCTCGGCCGCACTATCGAAGTTGACAGGCCGTAGCACAATCGCATTGTCGGCCAAATCACTTGCTTCTATCACTGACCAAGTTCAATCTTGCCAGTTGGGGGAATGCGGCGAAGCTTGTCCGAACGGCATTAGCCCTGCTCGGCGAAGTGATGGCAAGAATAGAGGCAACACGGGTACTAACACTGGATGCTCGAATGGCAAATCGCGTCTTTACTGCTGCCCAACGGACAATATGCCCACTTGCCAGTGGCGTGGCGGGGCTCCATATTGCAATGGCAAATGCCACAAGGGAGAGGTTGAAGTGTCAAGCAGCATCAGTGGAACTGGAAAAAGTTGTTGGACTGGGCACAAAGTACTTTGCTGTACGCAGACCGCGGCCAACAAAGCAGTTTCCGAATGTGGTTGGTCAGGAAGTGCGCCCTTCTGTGCTGGGATTCATAGCAATGCAGGCTGCCCTTCAGGTATAGAGCGATTAACTTATTCCACTTATGGTGCTGGTGGAGAGGAGCCTTGTATTGTCGGTTACAAGTCATTCTGCTGTGATCAGCCTCCTCCATACGAGAACTGCGACTGGTACTACCACGGTGGGAAATTCTGGGACTCTGTTCCCTTCCAGTGCTCTGGAACGTGCCCTGCGGGGAAAGCTTCCATCGCGCCTGATCCTTCTGGGTGCCTGTCAGAATATGGATCATTCTGTTGCGATTCACCAGCTACGAGTATATGTTGAAATTCCCTCGTGGCCCTTCTTACTCGCAAGTTTTGCTAATACGAGTAGAATGATCCTCTCGCTACGGCATTTAAGACTCAGCTACAGAAGTACTCCAAAGATCCTGTCTGCGACAAAGGCCAACGCCAGTATTCAAAGCGTGACACCATCGAAATGGGGTTGCAAAAGCGTCATAATTTGAATAAGGCAGACTGACCAGTCTGCTAATTCATTTGACCGCCATCACGAAGGGTAACAGCCCGACCTATCAGATGACGTTGATGGAGAGTGAGTATAATTCTAGTGATTCTTTGGTGACCCTGGAGGAGATTGTTCAGTTCCAGGCCGAATGGTAAGCGCTGTATCTCTTTGTCTGGAACATCAATTGAACTAATGGTACAGGGCTAATGCTGAGCCGATTGCACGGACAGAGAGTTTTCTGTGCTTGGGAACCCATGGAAGTGATGAAGTCGGGGGCTCTCAGGATGCTGGGTCCCAGCTTTGCGTCCTGGCTTGCCCTGATGCAGGCCTTGATAAACGTTCCAATGCATCAGTTGTGCTGTCGGCTGCGAAGAATGTATTTGCCAGAAACATTGCTGAATCAGAGGAGCTTTATAGTTCTTCGGAAGTATTCGGACAACCAAGCTGGGGTACGATTCCTACCTTTCACTTTGAGTACGCGCTAATCAGAATAGGCTATATAATGCAGGGAATTATAGACGGCACATTGACCCTAGAGTATGAGATGCTGATCCGTACTAGACGTGGAGAGCAGATTTTGGAAATTAAGTGAGACGATCTTGGCCAGCAATGCACAATGTAGACGTCTGCTTATACGATGCAGTCGCGTGGCGACTGCCTAGTGGCTCGGCATATCGAGAGTCTAACAGCGATAAATATGCGTTGTTTCATTTCCACTTTGACCATATAATGCAGCGAGGTGGTGTATTCCGGGCTGGTATATACGCCATAGTTGCCTTCCATGGCCAGGCCTATGTTGAGCTAACAGGTATCCTCGTGTCAATGGCAATGACAATCAAGGTGCGAATCGATGAGCTCACGCGTTGAATTGCAATAGGGGCAACGACGTGAGTCCTGAAACCCGTTACTTTTATCCTGGAGATAGACGGGAGTCTGACTATGATAATGACGATGTGTAGATACACGGACCTTAGATATAAGCGAAGGAGCCAGAATGAATTGATCATGTCAAATAGCTCCTATGATATCACCGAGACAACCCCGCACTTGAGCAAGTTAATACGAACAAATTTCCTCTTCTCCAGCTTCACTGCCATACCATGTCATATAAACTCACCAGAGAAGATGTCACCTGGGGCGTTGAGGAGTCTGCGGCCATTCGGGCTGCCGGTAACTCCAATCCAGCCGTCCTCTGTGCTCTTTTGGATTACCACAAGAGAAAACTTCGTGAACTAGCAGGGTGTTCTCCCAATGCAAACATAAGTGGGAGCAATATGGGCACCTACGAATCTCCACTCACGGCAGCTATTCGCGTTAATTCACCGGAAAATGTTCGAACGCTTCTGGCCAGTGGTGCAGATCCCACAGGCATCCACATTTGGGATTTATCTGACTACTCTGCGAGGTTCATGCGTGGTCGAGACGCCAAGGTCGACATCTCGAGTTTTGGCCCGTGTCCTTCACGATTGCAGATTCTAGAAGTTGCAGCGAGCAAAGGAATCATCGAGCACACGCAGCCATTGACCCAAGCTGAACTGGATGAGCGACGCACTAGCTTCCCACGATTTTGGACTGAGCCAAATGTCCCAGGTCAGCGGCTAAGGATGAACAAAGGCATGACAGCCTTAGAAGTGGCTGCTAGCCTGGGCTTTGAGGATCTCTTCGCGCTGGTTCGCGAAGCGGGGGCAGATGAGTCTGCCTGGATCAGCATTTCCGGACAAGCCGATTTCGATGATACTAAGCCATCGTCACTAAGCGTCACATCTCCTGTCCATGAAGCCATCGAAAATGGTCAACACGCTATGCTTGAACGGCTACTCAATACTTATCACTATTCTCCCAATTATCGGGCAATGGTAGCTCCCACAGTTGCTTTGCCGCCGCTTTCTTTTGCATTGGGTCGATGCGATCCAAATGATCCTAACATCAGGGCCTGTATCAAACATCTTCTTACGCATCCAGATATCGATTTAAACCTCCGCACCCCTATCTTCGAAATTCATCCACTTCATTTGGCAGTTGCTCGCCATGACCCTGAGCTCCTATCTTTCCTTCCCATGCCACTTTCCAGCGCAGGCACGACGGCTCTAGGTCATACATTGCTTCACATCGCCTCACTCCCACTCACCTCAATGTCCATGAACCGAGAAATCCCTGATGCTGTGCGAAGTGTTCACTGCGCCCGTACCCTAGACTCTAAGTGGCTTCCGCATTCACAACCTAGTCCGCTGCACTTGGAAATAACAGAGCAAGTGCCACACCGTTCTATCAAATCACCGACACCGATGACACTTGCTGAGCGGGATGCACAACTCAGCACTCTTCGCGTGCTTGCTGATGCGGAGATCGATGTACGCGCCCAGGATGTGGATGGAAACACTGCACTGCACTATCTTGCCACTGCCTTGGATGGCGATTACAGAGCCATGCGGCTGCTACGAGAGATGGAGGGGGGCGAAGAGATTTACAATAACTGTAAGAATCGGGAGGACCTGACGCCCCGTGCCTTATGGGAAGCTTGCAATAAAGCGTGATACGGGCAACAAATTAGAATCATATCGGTAATTTCAATTCTCAGTCACCGTTGACCTCTCAGCTGTAATATTCTCCTATATTCTCTATCCCCGTAACTCTCATGATAATTTAAAATAACTAAGGCTGAGATGCAAACGGATCTTTTATCCCATTATCTTCGTTAACCCAGACAAATTCAATTTATCTTGCAATGTTTCCGGCCAGATCTTTTCCATATATCTGCTTTTCAGTGAACATATTCATAGAAGAGAAAGAAATTCAAAGAAAATCATAGCAGAGTAAGAGAAGGGTCTCGGGGCTTATAGTTATATCTTGCTATTAGGACCGTAGAGGTTATTTAGGTGTATCTCTAGATGGTTTTCTGAATGGTTTCCCGGATGATCTCCAAGATGGGTTCGTGGATAGTTCTCTGGATGGTTTAATTGTATCAAAAATAAGTCTGAAATTCTACTAGAAAACTGGAAATATAGACGATAGGAACTGCTCCATGTTGATTTACTTATGACTTACAATACATCCATAGTCCATTGTAAAGAGTGGAATGTGGTCTGGTGGACGCAATAACCCAGGAATTCGAACATGAAGGCCATTATCAAAGGGGCAAGTCCGGGATATCTGAGCCCTAGCCACTTCGTTGGTATACATAGAGCAAAGCATGAAGTGGTGAATCGGCTTACTGAACACACAATCTCGAACTTTCCAAGTCATTACCTGATGAGACATGTCTTGTCCAATCCTGTTCTCGCGGCTTCCAATGACTTTATCTAATGGCTTTATCGAAAAAGAAAATCTATACGTGACAGTGTATTGGGGCGCTAAACCTAAAGAGGCAAACCTAACCGCATATAGTAATTCATAGGTCCGCCGTTTATACGTCAAAGACCTTTCCTTTTCTTTCTGTGTTCCTTTATGATAGAATATCCCAGCATATTCAGGCAGAATGTAAAACACACAGAATCCATGTAGGATTAGGGATATAAGGCAAGTAAAGTAGCTACTAGCTCTCCTTTCCCTATCACTTTCTATCCACAACACTATTCACTCTGCTCAATCTGTCTATTTTAACTGCAGAAATTCCTCTGTTGCAGGGTATCAGTTACCAGGCTCCAATATGTCGGTTCGTAGATCCACTACATGCAGTGGATATGAATACTAATACTTTACTTTCTACAGCATCCACAGGGTTATTTGTACTGTTGCAAAAGAGTTTACGAAGGACTTGTCAACTAATCAATATATATATTAGCATCTCCAGCGCAGCCAAATGTATATCCGAATTCAATCAGCTCCGATCAGGGCCAGAAGCCACCAGACCTAAGTTCATGATCTACAAGATCTCCGATGATAACCAAGACATTGTAGTCGAGGAAACATCCACGGAAAAAGACTACGACACATTTCTCCTCAAGCTATGGGAGTCAGTTGACAAACGTGGCAATCCGGCTCCACGGTATGCCATCTATGACATGGAGTATGATCTTCCAGGGAGCGAAGGAAAACGGTAAGAGACTACCATAGTGACCCAACGAGTACAGTGGAATGTCGCTAATTCAAGTCACTGGGTGTGCAGTAACACGACTCTATTTATCGGTTGGATGAATTGCCACGGGCCTCTAGAGGTAATCTGCCTTTCAACTCGAGTGTCCATTGCATGGCCATAAAGTGTTGACCGAAGTTCCAGCAAAATATGCGCTATCTTGGCAGGATGCAATTTAGAGGAGTTGATCCCGAGGTCTTGGTTGTTGAGGCAGATAACCTGCTAGATCTTGATTGGGACTATCTCTTGAAGGAGGCCAGTGGGGGCCAAGAATAGATGGATCTGGGGAAATGATCGGCGTTGCCAAAGTACTTTGCATGAAGCATTGATTCAGAAAGTAACAAAGTAAGAAGAGCAGGCGAAGCACTGGATATGAAATATTGATTTTGAAGTCTTTGAGATCGTGCTAGATTAGATTCCTTGATATGTAACGAGGGCACATGCTTTGACATTGTATGATGCAACATGCATGTATTTCATCCAACCAGCTTGTATGGCGTGAGCCACAAGGAATGATAATACCACTTGGCGTTGCGTCACTCCATACGTTGGGGGCCGAATACACGAGGTTCTTTTGTTTTTCAATTGAATCCAATAACTTCCTAGAATAAGACCTGAGTTTAGAAAGGATAGGTTGACCATGTCAAAACCAAAGTAGATAGTGAACTAACTAGAACAGAAAACCTGTTTAGGTAAAATTTTCAAGGCGGAGAGGAAGGCTTGTATCTCCGCATTCGGGCACGTGCCATATGACATTTGAGTCTGATCATCCCCGCCACTTCGACTTTTGAATCTTTCCCGGGTTCTTTTGCTTTGCTTTTCCCATTTGCATCTTTTATTTGGGGCACAGGAAAAGCTTGCTAAGCTCCCCACTTTCCCACCCAAAACCCCCACTAGAGATCGCGAAAATGATGGCCACCGGGTCTCGCGATTCCTCAGTTCGTGAGGCCAAAGTCTTCGTCAAGGAAGTCGTCCGCAATGATTGGGATTTCGAAGCCGGCGTTCCCTCCCCATCGTCCGCCGATGGCACCCTCTGCCACAACCGCGAAGTGTGCGAATGGCGAGTCCGAGAATTCGATACCCCCACCTCGGAACTTGAACCGCAGAGCTCAGATAGCGAGGCAGAATACGGAGAGTCAGCTGCGGTGAAATCCGCCCCTGGAGATGCAGGCGTTGAGCGGCGTCGCAAACGTCGTCGACAGATGGATGACGAAATGGCTTGGAACGAAGGGCTACGCGTATGGATGGCCAGACGCGATGCGTGGTGTGGAGCGAAGACTCGTCGGCAGATTCGAGCCGAGGAAGCAAAACGCGCGTTGGGTGATGCGCAGACAGATACAACAGACCAATCCGATGGCGTAGGATTGGGAGAAAATAATACGACTTCGTCTGGTTCATCCCAGTCTGCGACATCGCCTGATCAGGGCAGTGATGGCATCGGCGCCTCTAATCTGGTAGCTCGGACCGAGACGTCGCTTTCTGTCGCGGATCGGGAAAAAAGCGAGGAGCTTCAGCATCGAGTGGATATGACCTCGGGACAGCAAGATGATCAGGAGGAAGGAATGTCAACCGCGCCAGACGAAGGAGCTAAAAGGAAGGCTTCGTCAGAGACCAACATCACAGTGCCGGATCAGAAATTTGCCACAATCGTGCCTATTCAACCAACCTTACCGGCCGTGGAAGACCAAACAGAAGAGGAGAAGGAAGAAGAAGAGCTTGACGAACCACTTTGCCCCGTTGCCCCTCCTTTCATTTCAGATGACAACCCCGTTCGCGCAACCATCAATCCGGCAATCTACCCTTCAATTTACACCAAGGTCGTCGTGCAAGGCATGACCCCCACTGTCCCCGTCAACCTCGCCCATTTGACCAAAGCCATGGTCCAAGGCTGGAAATCAGACGGGCAGTGGCCACCAAAGCCAGCCGTGACATCAATTGTCCTTGCTGATGATTGCTCTGTGCCCAAGAAAAACACGGATCGTTCTCCCGAGGAGGCACCACAGGGCAGGAGAAAGAACAGCATTACCAATGCTGTGAAGAAAGTCTTCCATTTCGGATCGCATCCCTTCCATCGCCGCGCCAGCCAGGATACCGGGAATGGAGGTGCCACTGGCCCGGCGATCTAAATGAAGCTTGCTATCTATTCATGGAGCATAAGTAATTGCATAGCCATCAATGCTAGTGCGGAAGAAATGGCTTCATCTAGGGTTGATCTGGCTCTGGCGTCTCTGGGGGCTTATTTGTGTTTTCTTGCGCGTTCATAATCTGAGCATCCATGGATGTCGGTGTTTGATTTACTTTCTAGCTCTGCACAATGAAGGAATGTCATATCATATGTCATCTGTTCAATCGTAGTAGGAAGAAGCGGCTGCCTCACTTCAACATGCGTTCTCTCCTTGGATCTCAAGGCAAACCGTTTAACGCGAGATGCCGCCATTGATACCGGTCTTCGCATGCTGACTTTCGTAATCCAACGCACGGTTCTTAGCCCGGAGAGCCACCCAATGCTCTTTCTTCGCTAGCAGGATTTCTATATCACTCTGGATCCAATTGTCTTCAAATTCCGGCAAGAGATATTCCGTGGGCTTTCCTTCCGTACAGCCTGCGAATTCTCGCAACCAGCCATAGTATTCCGCAAAATCGGGCATTATCTCGTGGAACAGCTCGGTAGGACCCTTGTGCTTTAGTCTCTGTTCCACCCACTCATCTTGTTCTGCTTTGCTTGGCAAGTCTTTAGAACGCCCGGCCAGGAAACGGCTGACTGCCGCAGCCTGATACTCGTAGATGCGAAAGCTAATTGCTGCTCTGACCTGTGAGCGAGTCAGCACAATTTCCCACCAACTGTTTTCGAATGCTGTAATCGCTAATGGACTCGATGGGAGACTCACCTGTCCGATGATAGCAAGGGAGGGATCCCCGATACGGAAAATGTGCTGGTAGAATCCGTCCAGTCTGTTCTGTGGGGTAACAGCCTGGAATGGTAGGAATGGATAAGAAAGTTTGTATCCCGTTGCGAAGATGATCTTGTCGAAGTTGATGCTTGTTCCGTCCTGGAATTCTACCGTGCCACCGGCGGCAGGGGATATACGCGAGATGGTCGATTTATCGACCACGTTGGGCAGACGCCATGCATCTTCGAGGAATCCCACGTTTCCACGTCGGGAGACATACAGCGGGCCCTTGACGATTTGGTGGAGGTCTTCAACAAGGTCTGCAGCTGATATGCCGCCGCCAACGATGACAACTCTCTAGAATCATTCAAAAAAATGATCAGCATGCAGGGGACTGAAACGGGACATTTTCATCGTGCTTGCTTCTCTCAATCATGACGCACCTGGTTGACATATGAGTCCGGAGACCTCCAGGATTTGGAATGCTCAAACTTGTCCGGAAACTCGGCGGAGGTCTCGACTAGACCTTCAATATTAGGAAGACTAGGAACTGTAAAATGTCCCGAAGCTACCACCAATGCATCAAATTGCTCCTCCCACCAGTAATCTTTGGGTCCATCTGACGTGCCAAGTTGGACATTTCGTCGTCGTAGTGTGAGCTTCCATTTACCATCATCTGTTTTCACAGCATTTTCAACAGTGGTGTCAAGCAGGAGTAAATGTAAAAATGGAATGAATAGTTCCTCCAGATAGCGCAGAACAGTGCGACGCGGTCGAGTTGGATTGTCTCGGCCGAATTTCTCTATTGAGGCTATCGAGTTGGCCATTGGCATTGCCGTATGCGTGAAGGCCATTGTTCTGGCCCCGACATTGGTGTCGAGAGTATCGTAGGCCGATCCACGGAGACCCTGGGGCTCCGGGGTCGCTGGCATGAGACATGGAGTCCTGGGTCCCAGTTCACAAGGAATTTTAGTGCCCTCGCTTTGAGTGTTCACTTGAAAACTGTCTGGTTCCGGGTCATAGGCCCTAGATGGACGGTCAGCAAACAGTATTATCGAAACTTAGTGCGGATCTATGATATGGAAGTTCCTCTTGTATCAACGGCCCCCAAGGACCGAAAAGAAAAAGAGTCAAATAACGGGACATGCTAACCATAAGCCGCCAACCCTACTCTTTCGTTCAAAAACCCGGATATAATCAAACCCCTCTTGTTCAAGTGCTCTCACAGCTGCCAGACCGGAGGGTCCTGCTCCAATAACAGCAACTCGGCGATAAGGAGTCATGTCTTTGATTCAAGAAAAGTGGACCTTCTGGATAGAGGGGTTAAAGACTTTTCTTCTGCTCTGCAATGAATTGAAATAGCAAAAGAAAAAGAGAAAAAGGGACATACCCTATCTGCGGGGATAAGTCCGATCTTTTCGAAAGTAGTTTAGCTTTGGGGTATACTAATATACTACACTTGATATCGGCAGTTATCAATTCCTAGCCCCCAACCCAACATAAACATTGAAGTTATAATGAACGCAATTGTCCTTAACAGCCAACCCCCCTGACCACTCAGAATCGTCTGTCCATTCCTCGTCACCTTGAAAGACTGCCCACCAATCCCCATACTCACATTCGAGGTAACAATCCCCGCCGGAACATCAATGTTGACAGGAGCATTACCCCCACTCTGCACAGTCAAAGTAGCGGGACTTGTCAACATAGTCGCGACAAAGATACTATCACTGAGCATGTTAGCACCCATTGGTGCGGAGAGGGTATCACCCGTGCACACAACGCCCTTGGGCGTAGGTCGGTACCAGTACACGACTTCGTCTGCTTCTACGGTAGGTGTTTTTGCGCCAGCTTTGTAAGCTGCGATATAGGGCTTGAATAGGTTACGCCAGCCGTCGTGGGGCATGTTGGCTGCCCACTGGGATGATCCATCATCGCTGTGATGCGCTGAGTACGGGCCGATGTAGTGGGACTCGCCATAGTCTATATAACTGCCCGTTAGCAGAGACTCTTTTTCTGGGGAATTTCCCCGGAATATAGTGCTACTATACCATTCCATGAGATTATTTCAATCAAATCTGGCCGAAGAGAAAGCATTTGTTCCCAACGAAGTGTTGGTAGATTCTCGCAAACGAAAACCCAGTTTTTGACGTTGAAATGTGTTGAGAACCAGGGTGAGACGGCTATCATCGAGTTAGTTTCCTATTAACTCAGAGACCACAACAAATGCAGGGGTCTCTAACGAGCCATATAAGCTTTCCCCGCCAGGAAATGAACAAATCTATCATCCCAGATGGTAGTCATCGGTCCTGGAATGATACTATTCCCCCCATCGGTTGGCCAAGCCAACCACGAGAACGCACCATCAGCGCTCTTGGCAGGGCCGGTGGCAGCCTCGGCTGGATCTTGGAGATTGGGTAATGCATAAATTGGATGCCGGGTGCCCTGTCTCACGGGATCCCAGTTAAAACTGTCTCCAACAAATGTACTGACTACCGCAGCTCCCTTGTATTGCATCTGCGCCGGGTGGCCTGCATATTGTTTCATGTACTCTGTGATGTTTGCTGTGTCCCCGTTGGTCCAGTAGGCGAAATCGAAGGAGATGAACACTTTGAAGTTGACTTGTTCGGCTGCTTGGTAGGCTAGGGCTAGCTGGGTTGGTGTATAGCTGTCTATGCTCGCGCAGTTCAGTGCGAATGCATCGATGCCAATAGATTGGGCTGCGGCCATGTCTTCTTTCCAGTCTGATAACTGGTAGTCCTTTACTATGCCGACCTAGATGTGATTTATGTTGATGATGGGGAATGATAAGTGTCTATGTGCTGACATACCATGAAGTGGGCGAAGACATATTTGCCTGGCGATTGACTAGTCAATTGCGAATCGAGAGTTAGAGCAGCTAAGGCTGGGAGGATTTGGGCCAATATGGCTGCAACACTGAAGAGGATTTTCCAAATCATAATCGCCAAATCTATAAGTTGACTCCTTGGTGTGCATTTCCGAGGCCCATCAGACTATATAGCTAATTCCTCTGATATTATACTTCCCAAAGTGCACTATACTCGAAACGAGTCAAGCGAGACAACTAAAATACCCATAAAAGCCTTGGACAATAACTCTGACGGCGAGTATAAAACTTGTTTCTCTCTTCCTGGACAAGTCTGTAACACCCGACACTCCACGTGAGCTTGTGTAGTATTCGCAGATTTCCCCTGTGATTCCAACTTTTATTTTTCTATGCATATGCAGATGATATCGCCCGACTACCCAGGCCTACCGGAAACGGGCTCAACCATTGAGATGCAACAGTGCGTACACTAGTCGCAAATCAGGCTTTATATGCCAGCTGATCGAGGCAAATGAATGTGCTGGGCATATTGAAATGATTGGTACAACTCAGGTCATAGATCAATACCGATATGGCCGGATGACAGATCATTATCCGAGGCTTTTGCGCGTGTGCCATACGCATGACTTATTTAATACGGGGAAATCGATTTCCGCAATGTGCTATTCACCTTGAAATACCATCAGAACACGCCAAACGCGCCTCGAGGGATTAATGTATGACAAGTTGAATCTGAAATGCAGGTAAGGCATGGCGGTCAACGGAGATTATAACTTAGTTAACTAGTTATTTTGTGGTGGCCTGCATATCTAGGCCAGTATAGGACATGCAGCCCTGATTGTTTCTGGACTGTTTGCATTGGACCCGATGGCAGAATGCATTGCATGATGCAGCACTCTGTTCTTTGCTTCTCGGAATGTTCTTCAATTCTGAGAATGAATACACTATAGCTTCTGACGGAGAAGGTACACATCGCCACTAAGTGTAAGTAGTCCGTATTATACGATTCGACAAACCCACACAAAATGTAGCACAATATAACATTATTGATTCCTTTCTAATATTCGTGACACGTTAAAACTTCCCCCAAGAACGCCGTGTATATAAAGACCGAAACGAATAACCTCGCAGTCAAGACACCAATTCTAGGGCCTTTGCACGATCGACGAATCCCCTCACCGCATCCTCAAAGACCTTCTGCGCTTCACTCAGACTAGCCACCAGAACAGCAATCTCAGGCTCAATTGTGACCTCCTGTGACTCATGACCAGGACGAGTAAAGTAGTACTTATCCTGATGATGAGACCATTTTCTCAGATAAATCTTGAGGTCATTCGAGGCAAGGTTGTTAGCAGTGCTGAAGAGTTCGGTTTTCCTGCTATCGGAGGGCGGCGGGATCGCAGGGAATGTGATATGGACATTGCTCGAGGGCGAGTCTATGTCTGAATCTGTGATTTGTAGACATTTGCTCACGGCTTCAGCGAAATCGCGGATCCACTCGATGTGTGTGATAATATCCCCCCTGCGCCGGCAGCTCGATCAATGTAATCTACCACTGGCAGGGCCGAGGAGATCATGTCTAGGAAGGTGGCAAGCATGAATAAAGTTGTAGGACTTTGTAGACGATGGCGACGGAAGGCGACCAAACCCAGTGCTTGACAGGAGGCTCGGCACACAACGTCGATGATGTCGATGACCGAAGACACACAGACTTCGTCCAGAGTGTCTATAGTACACAGCATGTTCTTGAATTCCAGCGTGATGGTCTGGATGATGGGACGGCTGAGGATCCAGGCGGCGCGGTTAGGAAGCGTCGCTTGAAGGTACGCTGGAAACACGCATTGCAACAGGACAGCGCGGAGAGTGGGTTTGTCATGGTCCCCAGCTTCGTAGGTATTCTTCATCGATGTGTGCAGCTGGTCAACCAGGTAACTCTGTTGGCCGTCAATGGCGGCACGCTCCGAAATGCTCTGGACGAACCCGGTCAAGGTCTGGATCTCTTTGCTGGAAGATAACTTCGACTCGTAGCGCTTGAGCTTCGCAACAATGTAGCGTGGGTCCGTAGACGGCAAAGGGAACGAAGCAGGATCCGTGAAGAAGGGGTCGATGGGCTTGATGTCGCTGGTATGTTGCTGTAGGAAACCGATGACACGTTGAACGAACTCGACGTATTCTCCTTGAGCAGTCTGCACTGTTCCATTACCTAGCTCTTGGTAGTTGTCTTTCATGGAAGTCATCACCCGCTGAAGCATCTCGGAGTGCTCTTGTTTTGTCACAGAGAAGTTCCGATTACCAGAAAGTTCCATGCCCTGGAGCTGCTCACGCATATTAGACAGTAAACTCGAGAGGAGAGATAGTCGCCGAGAGCCAATTTCCTCCAATGTGATTGTATACCGGCCAATTTTTGTATCCTTAGAGAACGGAAGATTGGCAAGCAAGGGATCTGTGGGACTTCCGTTCAAAAGCGCCTCAGTGAGACGATGTTGAAATTTCAACATCGAGGAGCGCTCGACCAGCGATGACATCCACATACTCATAACTTGAATCCGGCAATCAGAGACAATATGTGCGTCTTTTTCGATACATGCCGCAAGGAAGAGCGGGCCAAACTTTCTTGTCTGAACTGTTTGTCGAAGCCGGGTCCAGGAATCATCGCCGAACTCGCTCAAATAATTGTCCCAATTCCGGAGGCCATGGCGAATGAGAACCTGGGCAATTGACGTCCAGCATTCTATCACACTGAGAAGAATCGCATCCTCTGGACAGTGGTCCTCACCAAAGCAGTTCGAAACGAGACGAGAAACAATCGGATGGAAAGTCTTCTCTACATGTTCAATACCTTCGCTGGGAGACGTTTGCTGGTCCCAAACAGCCTGAATGGCATCCCAATCACCGAACTCCTGGCTGTCCTCATCCGTGTTTACTACCGCAGGAGCATCTGATGTGGATGTAGCTGGAACGTCTTTCTGGGTGTACGTTACCAGGACCTGCAGTGCCTCGGAGACAACGACGTTCACGCGCGGGAGCTTGGGGTTGAAAAGTGTAAGGATAGACTCGAAAGGAGTTTTCAGAACAAGCCTGCGTGCATGCTCCAGCTTCGGAGCTAGCTGGACAGCAATCTGTAGCCCCCTAAGCGCGTTGCTCAACAAGGTCTCAATCTGCCGCTGGTTCTTGGAGATTGTGCGTTCCACATGCTGTTGAGACGCCCGATTGTCACCTGTGTTTTGAGCCTCGATTTCTTTGCGAGCATTTGAATGCTCTTGCTGCAGCTCCGTAACGAAATAGCCATGCCAGTCCCCAAACGGATCTAGTCCCGCAACATCTTCATCCGTAGAAAGCTTGAATCGAACAAGTCTTGACCATGAGCGCAAATTAATGCTGCATGCTTCACGATGCGAAGTGGCAGGATGGACCAGATTGCGTATCGTCTCCAGTCGAGGGCGACACCCATCTGGAACAGCCCAGTACAGGGTACTAAGAAGATCGTGGTGGTTTCTTAGTGCGTTGAGATCCTCATGCTGCAATGGCTTCTCTTTCGGGTATACACGACCGTGATTGGGTAGCAGACGCCAGGCAAAGTTTCGAATCTTTTTCTTGTCATATCTCTTCGCCAAGAAGCGAAGACCACTCGCTACGATCTTGAGAAATGTGTGGAAACACGGTTCCCCCACTCGGGCATCCAGAGACGGATTGTTATCAAGTTCATCAAGAAATGAGGGTGAACCACGAGCTTCCTCAAGATGCAGGTTGTGGAGGTTATTCTTGGCAAAGAAGTCGAATAGCGTGTCCAGAATAGGTTTGCATTCTCTCCACCCCCAGGAATTGATAAGCCGATGACATCTGAGGAACAAGGTTCGACAGTAGCTGTTGTATGAGATGGGATGTGCCATAGAGTTGGACTCGAAATGGTCCAGGGCCGGGGCGAGAAGCCGTTTGACTAATTTCCAATTGTCATTGACAGCTGTCAACTGATAACCAGGGCGCGCAACCCCAAGCGGATCTATTTCGTTGAAGGGCAAGACCGTGAATATGCCACGCCATCCAGTCTCCAGGCTGCCCACATCCCTTTCCTTGCGAATAATTTCATTGTTGAAAGTCTCAAGCTGAAGATCTTCAAAGCAGCCCTTGTAGTTGTCTGAGCTGCGCAGAAGATGTTTGGTGACAACGTAAGCCTCCACCGATGGATACTCATCGCGAATCCCCGACTCGCGGCGTTCAGGCTCGCTGTTTTCCTTGAACAACGTTTTAAACTCAGAAGAACCGGCTTTGGACGTAATCAAGCCTGCAACGTCTTTAGCGGATATTTTGACAAGATCCAAAGCCTCAGTCGCAAGGACAGGGCCGACGAGCCGATGAGAAGCAATCTGATAGATCTGGTTCGAGAAAATCATGTTGAAGCAAGCAATCTTGACGAGCCCGCTCTTGTTGTATTCATCGCTAGCCAGAAACGCAATCAACGGGTCTCTCACCTGGGAGACCAGCCCCGTTGCTCTAGTGACAAATCCCGTACGATCAACCGGGTCGATGAAGACCATATTTTCCGTGGTGTATTTGACCAACAACCTGTATAACCTCGAAGCCACACCCAGAGCAGCCGTGATACCCGTATCCGGGGAGGTAACAGCACTCCGCTCAACATTATCGATTATAACATCAAAAACCTGCCCCATCTCCGATGATACTGTATCGTTCCAGCGACTCCATTGGAATGTCTCTTCTCTGGGCTGTATGGAGAATGAAGCGGTAAGCCCATCGAAGTCCCGCTCTGTGATTCGCAACGAACGAGAGAATTCCCCGCTTCCGATGAATGTAGTCTCATGGAAGAATGTATTGTCACGTAGGGATGATACTCCGAAGTCGACCGGATAGAAGCGTTGCCAGTTGAAAAGGCCGCCGACACTAAAAGACGAAGGACGTGCATGTCCGACGTTTGCTATGGTAGGAAGTTCTGATTCATCGGAGACTATGGTAGCAGGATCTGGATTATGACGGAATTCGTCGGCATCGAGATTGATTCGGTTGGGTGGATTTTTCTTCAATCGCCGTCGAGATACAGGGGCTCTTTGGGTTGGTCTTTGAGTTCGTGCTTCAGCTGGGGTTGCAATACCAGCAGAAACATTCATGGGCGAGGAATTTCCTCCAGTACTCAATGATCCATTGTCGGAGACATATCGATCCAAGGTCAAACTGGGCTTGTAAGGTTTAGATGTGCGCTGGTTCTTATAATGTCTGTTAAGAATAGACAATGACTGGTTGAACATAGCGGGAACCACTTTTTGGTTTTTAACAGGGCCTGCCAAGCTAGTTGCCGCAGGCCTAATGGTGTTCCTCTTCAAAGTTGTTATGGCAACATTCCTAGGAACGACCCATGTGTGACCATGCTGCTCTGGTTTCTGACGGGACGAGGACACGGCTACTGGGACTTGGTTTGGCGAGACTGATACTGCGCTAGATTCGGGTGGTGCCTGTGCCTGTTCCAGTTCCTCTGTATCGGTGTTCGAAACATCAGCATCTGCCTCTGCATCAAGGAATTGGTTCGGTATCCGGCCATCTTTAGTGTTCGACTTTGTTCGAGTACTGAGAATCGAAAGATTTGTTGTCCAGTGCCGGTGTTGCCGGGCTCTGGGGCGAGGTGGGCTGATCTTTGCCTGCCGAATAGCTCCCCTTTTCCAATCTCGCAAAGACTCATTTGCATCCACTGTGTCTTCCCTTGAGGCCAGTTTCACGAACTTCTGAGTAGGGCTCTGCCTGCCTCCATCTTTGCGTGAGCGTGGTCGTCTTGTTGCTACCCGGAGCAGTCGCGATTGCTCCTGGCGAGGCTTTGTGGCAACATCTGGTGCATCCAATATTCCTATCCTTGGTCGTTTGGCACTGGAGGATTTTTTAATCCTTCGTGCTCTGTACGAGGCATCAGTCATTCGGGTTTGTCGAGGTCTCTTCGGCTGTCTCTCCCCATTGAGCAAACTTTGTTTCGATTTTGGCCTTTTTAGGCTGTTTGTTTTGTGCCGAGAACCTGTTGAGTTGCGCGGAGCAGACGCAAACATGTAGTCGATGCGATTATCCTCGGATATATCACCCCCTTCCAGAGCGAAGGAGTCTTCGAGTCCAAAAGTGCCAGTCAACTTCTGGCTAGAGTCGTTGGCTATGGAGGCATTTTCTGTAGCATCATTTCGGTTGTCCTCATCGTCCGAGTCAGAATCCCCAAGATCAAACAAGCCTCTTGATGGTTGTGTTCCTGGTTGCCTTGAGCGATCACCCCTTCGGATGAGCTTTCGCGCAACACCCTTTCCATCCGGTCGTTGCGAAGAAGCTTGACGATCAGTTAGTAATTGCGCGGCTTTTTCTTTACCTGCAATTTGCTTCTGATTCAGGCGAGCATGTGACGCTGGGAGCGCTCCTCGAATCATTCGTTGGAATCGTCGAATTTCACGTTCTTCAGCATCTGAATTGGTTTCTTCTTGATCACTCTGGCTGTTGGATGAGATGGACTGTACTTCCTCGTCATCATCTGTGCCCGCACCAGATAATTGAAGCTCGCCGGCTTCTTCTGTTTCCTGTGCCCCAGGTTTCCCAACTTCTCCCGGTGGTGACCACCCACGAGGAAACCGGAACCCTTCTTCTGAGGCACGAGAGGTTCTTGAGGTTGAAGATAAACGGCCTGTATGTGGGGGGCTAGAGGATATCTCGTATATGGAGATACCGTTTTGATTCCCAGTAGCTGTATTGTTGTCTCTAATGCCACGAGGTTTGGACGGTTTGTGTAAATTTTGACGTTCTTTGGGGGTTCTAGAATGAGAAGTCTTCTGTCGCTTTGCCAGATGAGCTTGCGATGGCCGAGGATGCTCGGGGTCATTGTGTTCCCGACCTTGCCCAGCAGATTGTGGGCCACGATGCCGTTCATGTCTTATTGGTGGAAGATACTCTTCAAGAGGAGGACTTGACGGAGGTGCATTGGGATCATATGAATCTTGCCCTTGACTTTCATCGGTGACGTGCTGTCTTTGCTGTGGAGGCCGACCAAAAGGCTTGACTCCCCGCGCTTGCAGTTGCTGGGCAAACTTGAGCTGTTCCAAATGGTACGGGTGCATTTGGATGGCATTGCGCTTTCGGAATGTTCTTTGCGCAGCATGCGGTAATTCTCGCAACACTTCTTCGGGGATATCGAGGTGAGGCAATACGTCGTCTGAGTTGGCATCTAGTTCAGCGAGCGTTGCGTTCCGTATATCTGCCTGTCTGCCCGTCGGTCTTTCTGGTTCTGCCTCCGTCACAACATCGGCGTGTATTTCTGTAGAATCATTGGCCGGCGGAGAGCCGAAGGATGACGGTACAGAAGATAATGGAGAGTCATCTTCTGAAGTCTCCTGTTGTGGTGGTGGTGGTAATGGCGGCGGCTCTATTGACTGGACATGCTTGACCATAGGCTTTTTCTTCCGAGTTGGCTGAGGAATCAATGCTAACTCGTCAGGTGAGGAGCTCCTAGTGCTTGAGATTTCATCATGTGTGTGGCCCTCTGAGATGTGTGGCTCTGCTATAACTTGTGATTGCGAAGGCCGTTTGGTCTTCAAGGGCTTCGGTGTAGACTCGCGGCTAGAGGGCTTCGACTGAGGCCTGTCGTGTTCCTGTGATGACGCTGGGAAATCGTATATGCTATGTGTATCCTTTGCAGGAGCGCCGGTATTCTGCAGCTCGCCACTGCGGCGATTCGTTGATTTCGTAGAGGACGATCGAAGTCCGTAAGTCTTGCGTCCTCTTCTTTGTTTGGGCGTCGTTTCGTCATGCGCGGAATTCTTCAGGTGAGGACTTGCTCGATTCATATCCTGACGAGCCACCTCCTCCGTATCTGAGAGTGTGATGGAGCCATTCTCAGCCCGTTCTTCCTTCGTTACACTCGTCGTCCCTTCCTTCGGTGACGATGAAGGGTTGTCGATATATTCGAGATTCTCGAGAACAGGGCTATTTCCGGCATTGCCCTTCTTCGCATCTAGAAAATCGAAGCCATCTTCCTCGTCCGAGTCGGGGACATATCCTCGTTGTCGCCATGATTCCATTTGCATCCTTGGCGGGGATCCCCCATGTCTCTAGACAGTCATTGGGTGATCTTGGGGCGATGAAAACGTGAGGGAAATAATTTTCAGGTCAAAATTCGCGAAACATGAGGAAATCAAACGTCAAACAACTATTCAAACTATCTGAATGCTGCGGATTTGATTCTGACGCGTGCCAACGGAGCAATTTAGCAGACGCGCCGGCTGCTAATCAGCCAACTGATAACCGATTTCCCCCGGGGCCGCATTACCTCCGCAACCTCCAACCGCCAACTGCGATTCGACCTCGCTGTCTACCTCAATCCCTCCAAAATGAGTCGCAATTTCTTCCCTGCCCTTTTTGCTATTGGCGTGGGTGTCTTCACAGGTAAAGCAACTATACTGCAAGAATAGCTCATGTCTGGTATCAGTCCCTAATCTCGAATTTTTCTATCTGCTCCAGGCTACTATACCTTCCAACCGACATTCCAGCAACTTCAATATCAGAAAGAGCAGGCTCAGAAGACCTCACCTCGGTCTGATCGTGCTGCTCTGAAGCAGGACACCAATGTTCCCACCAAAGACGACTTCCAGCAAGACCCCAAGTCGACAACTCAATGACGATGACCGGCGTCCCCCTTGAAGTGGCATTCTGAACACTGAATTGACCTGAGTACCACCAAGCATGATTGTGCCAGTAGTCTGTTCTCTACGCACCATTCTCTATTGGAAATCGTGCTCTTCCCCGCCCTCCGAGGCTCCGGCGCACACGGCACCATATGTCTCGCTGTGCCACACTTGTCGGGTCTTATGACCGGCCCTGGAGGCCGTTGTATATATGGAATTGGCACAATGGCCCAATTCTGAAGTATAATTGTGGGTAGAGTACTATGGTGACCTAGAATTGGCTATCCTGCGTACTAGTGAGGGTTTCCGACTAGTTGAATATAAAGCCGGGTTTCTCTCGGCGTATCCATGTGTATCTGGAAACATTTGAAACAGTCGATGTATTATTGCATGACCTTTAAACCTTGACATTTGGAAGAGGCGCGTTTTGAACGCCGTTCGCAGCACACGCAGAAAATCAACCCTAGTCCCTTGCAAATGATGTAGTCCATTCCCGAATACCTTAATAGAAAATCCTTCCATAAGCGCCAATCCGTTGTAGTTCCTGCATGTAAGATCAAACTTCTTCGACCATTTTCCCCGCGGGAACTGCAGGTGCGCCAAAGACACGCCCAGCAGGTGTACCCAGCCATTCTTCTGGAACGCTGACTCTGCAGCCATTTGGACCACTGGTCCACCGCACCAGGGTAGGGTCAGCTTTCTCGGCCTCCGCGATTTCTTGGCCGGGGGTTCCATCAGCAGCCTCGGCCGCTTGTCGACCACGCCGCTTGGGGGCCTGCTTCTTGAGCAGCCGATTAATTGTGTCCATCTGTTGTTCAGAATTAGCGGCCGTTCTCCAATGTGTGTATAAAGTGACTTTCTGCGCATACCTTTTCCTCTTCATTCCGCTTCTCACTCAGGTTCTTCCTTCGCCGTGCCATCTCTGCGCGACGCATCTGGCGCTCCTCGGCGGTCAAATGTTTCTTGACCTGGGGCTCTGTTTTGAGTTAGCTTCAGTTTCGGCAGATTGTTAGATCGGCTGTAGTTTCTCACCCATGGGAAGTTGCAAGAAATCATTTCCAAGATTTCCTCGCTGGCGCTTGGTGGTCTTTCCACTTTGAATGGCGAAAGCATCACTATCCATGCCGTCGTCTATTTCATCCTCTTCATCAAGCTCATCCAAATCATCGACATTGACGTCTGGGACTGCAATTCCATCCTGATCATCGCCCTCCGCTTCGGCATCTTCATCCGTGTCGGAGGTAGGCTCTTCCTCATCATCCTCGTCTTCGTCATCATCTTCTTCCATTTCCATCTCCTTGGCCTCGACACTCTTGGGAGGCTTAGCGCGAGATGGAGGACTGATCTTACCGCGCCTGGCAGGCGGCTGAGGCGGCATGTCGTCCATATCAATGTCACCGTCAGCATCAGCGTCAGCGTCGGCATCGGCGTCCTCCTCCTCATCATCATCATCATCTCCAGGGGCATCTTCATCATCAACTTCATCCTCTTCTTGGTCGTCGATTTCCTCTTCGTCGCTAGTAGCAACCTCTACAATCTTCTTTCGGTTCCGACTGGAGCGGGGTCCCGAAACAATGGGATCTTCCCGGAATACATTGACTGAGCGCCGTCCAGCAGCGCGACCAGCACCCGTGGCTTCCCGCAATTTGCTGGAGGGCATTTTGACAGTAAGACGGAGAGATCTTTTTCGATCTCCTGAATTCAACTCAGATCGAGAGACTGAGATCAAGGCAGATGCAGACGTAGAAGCGCGAGTTTGTCTCGTAGACCTGGTGGTCATGTTAGCGTCTGTTTCCGGAGTATCATCTCGTGTCTTTCGCGATCGAAGGGACCGACGGAGCGACATGGTGGCGGCTTTAGGAGTGTGACAGAAGTCTTTGGGAAAGTAAAAATGCAAAAAGCAGAACTGCAAAAAGAAGCGGGACAGGGAAGGTCGATAGGCAAGTGTGTGGCAGTATGAACTAAGCCATTAAGCCTTTGGGGGAGGGGAACTCTGGATGGCGAGAGAAGAAAGGAATATCCAATCACTTTATCCCCGGCGAGGCGGAGTTGCAAACCGGGAAGATACAGCTTTGCTTTCTATAGGGGAGTTTTCCCAGTGCGAACAAAGCGCACTGGTTACAGGGGATCAGGCTCTTGGGGGTTTCTTGGGGGCTTCTCTCTTCCCTGGGGTTCGGAGTCTAACCAACGCCCGGGGGGCCATGGGCAGATAGGAAGGAACGCATCAACAGGGGAAACGCCATACTCACAGGTACTTTTCTCTAAGGTTTCGGGTTCTTCAAATGTCCAGTCGCTGACGCTGGATGAACGAATGAAGTACTGCGAGGTCCATTCTGCCGGGCGGTCTCGAGTACGCCGTTTTGAACTATATGATCTTTCGATATTCAATTAATCTCTCTGGATAGAATATAGAAATAATTGATGTTTAGGACTCTATAGCCTTCAATAGGAGCTGGAGTCAGGTGGTAAGGCTTCGTCTCACAGGCTATTTTCGGTATAGAACAGTGCAGGTACATGTGTATCTTTTGTTTTCTATTTTGGATATTCAGATATGGCTACCTAAATATAATTAAAAAATACAACTTAGATTTAGATTTGACGTAAAGAACATTATATTCTAGTATTTCGTACAAAGTGAACAAATATCAGTGTGATGGATTTTCTATCAAGATGTACGGCAATATTGATGCCTCAGGTGTAGCCGGCGTAACAACCGAGGTCGGGTTCACATGGCCCCAAGTCTGGGGAAGGTTCCCTCTCCTCTTTACTCCCTTCCAACGTCTTCGCCTTCTCATATCTCTAGCGAATGTGTGAGATACCTCATCATGCCTGACGACACATCCAAACCAACATCTATTCCCTCATGGCAGAGGCCCAATAAGACCGCCGAGGAGTCGCCATCGCCGACCTCCGACGATGCGCCCGCAACTACACCCTCCACATCCCGACAAGCTCTCCTAGACCAAGCATCCAAATTCCTAGAAGACGAGTCAATTCGCGATGCACCAACAGATCGCAAGGTCTCATTCCTCGAGTCAAAAGGCCTGAGCTCAGACGATATCGAGCAGGTCCTCGGCATCTCCCGCAACGCAGAGGCGAGCAGCAGTTCAACCACCGCCGAGGACAAAACACAGGAAGAGACACCATATACCTCACCTACTCAACCCGAAGCCACCCCTTCACCTCCTCCTACCACCTCCTCGCCACCCTCCAACACCATGCCTCAATCGCAACCAGCAGCGCCAGCGCCAACTCCCGCTCCCCGCGACGTCCCCCCAATAATCACCTACCCTGAATTCCTCTTCGAGTCCTCCAAGCCACCGCCTCTCGTGACAATGCGCAGCCTCCTATACACATTATATGGCGCCGCAGGCCTAGGAGCAAGTATCTACGGTGCAAGCGAGTACCTCGTGAAACCAATGCTAGCGAACCTAACGAGTGCACGACACGAGCTCGCCAGCACAGCCGAAGCAAACCTGCAAAAGCTAAACGAGAAGCTGGAGAAGACCGTGTCCATTATTCCGGCAGAGTTAACAGCGCGCAAGATCAAGCCCTACAGCGACGAAGAAGACGACGATGCCTCGTCAATCACCTCAGACCCAACCGAGCTGTTCCACCGGGACGTCGCAACACAGACAAGTCCAGAGCCTACTCCCGCTCCCAGCACCACAGGCGTCGTCAACTCGGCGGACTCGATGGCCATCTCTCCATCAACTGCGGTGAACAACCACATCAGCCGCATTGAGTCTATTACCTCGAAGCTGCGCGAGATTGTCGATTCGGAGAAGGATGCGAGTACGCTGGATGACTCTATGCGTACGCGTCTCACGGAGCTGCACCATTACTGTGATGGGTTGATCTATAGTGGTCCTACGTACTCTTCTGGGTCGTCGTACGGTGTCTGGAATTCCAATAACTCGGGCTCGAGTGATAACTCCGGGCTGCGGAAGGCGGAAGATGAGGCTATTGCTGGGTTTAGGGCTGATATTCGCGGTGTGAAGGGTGCGCTGTTGAGTGCGCGTAACTTCCCTGCTAGTCGGGGTGGACGGCTTGGTGGTCTTCCCGTCGGTGGACGGTAATGGAGTTGGATCTTGCAGATTTGGTGCGATTGTATGAATGTAAATAGATTACATCGGATTTCCTAGGTGATTTACCTAGGTTTATGTGGTTTATATCTTCATTTGCTTGGTTGCATCTACGAAATCATAGCTTGAATTCTGATATATATATTCACTTGACCTGTAAAACAAAACCAATATCCTCATTTGACTTATGTCTGTCTAGCATTCTAAATAAAAAGACATCATGTAGTTAATACTATCAATCACACTTAAGAGGCGTTGGACAAGCTTCGCTTTGCTCACGATCGGACTCATGTGCCCAGACAGAATAGGAACGGAAGAAAATACGCAAGACATTAATTGTAAAATGGACAAGGAAAATGAGAAAACTTTAGAGAAACGCTGAAGTATAGAGAAAACAAGGCCAGATATACGTAAGTTATACCAAGCCTTTAGCATTCCCTCCACCCGACAAGGTACAAGGGTGTCATTTACGGAGTAGCGCGGCTCATGCTAATTAGTCGCTTCACACCGACCTGTAAAACTTGTTAGTGACTGTTCAAATCCTATAGGACCAAGGTTCACTCACCATCCAGTTGCCACATTCGTCAGTCCGGTTAGTCATGATATCAACGTGAATAGCGAGGGCAGCATTGAAATCACGTTGCTGGATTGCGCGGGCCAAGTTCGCCATGTCCTCAATGGTGTTAGGCTTGAGCAGATCCTCGTTGTTGAGATGATCAAAGAGGATGTTCAAGCGGCGCTCGGCATCATCAACCTGTGCCTTGAATGCAGCAGGGGCCCGGGTCTTGACGCGCTGCATGTCTGCCGATAGAATCTCGTAGACAGGCTGTGCGTTTGCAGGAATGTGTGAACGGTCACCAGGGGCTGTAATAAGGGTCAATTGGCTGGAATCAATTGTTCTTAACTGGGATTACTCACGATACTTGGGAGCCGGAGGAGTTGGCCTCTGCGACTGGGCTGTGGGAGGTCTAGATCCCTGAGGTGGCGGTGGGATGCCCTGGGCCATAGGCGGAGGCTGTGTAGCAAGAGGCGCCGTGGGCCCATATGGGTTTGCCGCGGGTGGTTGTGATACTGCTTGTGGGGCGTATGGCGAGGCAACGGCCTGGGGGGAGGAGCCACTGAGCCACGTGGCTGCATTTGGGGGTTTGCAGCCTGGGCAGCCGGGCTTGGTGCATACCGGTTGGTTGGGGGTGGTATGCTGGGAGGCGCGTTGTAAGGTGATGCTCCGCGGGGGATCGATGCCGGGGGAGCCATGGTTGACCCCTGATTCAGCGGCGGTGACTGAGGGAGGGAAGCGTACGGGTTGGCAGGGGGAGGTGGGGAAGGTCCAGGGATGTTAGATACACCTTGGCCACCAGATAACGGCGACATCATGCGCGGCGGAGGCACCGAGCCCATCTTTGGCGGGGGAGGCACCGATGGTGCACGTGGAGCACCAACCGGGGGAGGTCCCTGAGTCATGTTGGGTGACTGGTTGGGGAAAGGAGAGGCAATGGGCGCAGAGACTGCGGCAGGAGTTCCACGGCGGGGCGTAGGAGCCTTCGCAAAGCCTTCTGGCAAATCATTCCATGCAGGTAGACCAGTGGCCGTTGTGTATGTGGTGATTGTGTTGGCCGGCGACTGGGTAGATGACGCACGAGGAGGGGGAGGGACACCAGCACCTGTGGGCTGCTGTCCACCGAATGCAGATGGCGGATTATAACCGGTAGGTCTCATGCCCTGAGTTGGCTGATACCCAGCTGCCGGGCCGTAGGCACCGGCACCCCCCGTCGACATAGCAGCGTAGGGGTTGGCGGGCGGAGCTGGCGAGGTCGCTTGAGGGCCATATGGGTTGGCCTGCTGGGTAACAGCAGGCGCAGGAGGCGCGTACATGTTAGGAGGAGCAGCCGGTGTTGGAGTAGTAGTAGGGCTGTAACTTTGCTGTGGCTGGTACATATTGGGCTGTTGCGGGAGGGGCTTGAAGGAAGACTTGGCTCCGACAGCGGCCTGGGCCTTCTGGGGTGTCTGTCTCGTGGCAAGCTTGATACGGTTGCGCGCCACCTCAGCTTCAGGGTGCTTCTCAGGGACAAGGTCGAGGTACTTCTGGGCAATATCCAGGCGTCCATGGGTTGCGACAACATCGGCATATTCAATGTACTTGTCGTACAAGACGCTCAAGCGCCAATCCGAGTCCTTGTTCCGCTCCGTATCCTGGAACTTGGTCACTTGGCGGAAGATAGTAACCTTCTCGATCAGGCCCTGCAGAGCACGGACGTGGATAGAGAAGGAAGAGTTGTCAGTATCGCTTTCAAGTCCTTTCTGCTCATTCTCACGGAGCTCCTCAACCCAAATCGCCACAACCTTCTCAAGCTTCGAGCCTGCCAAGAAGCAGAAAGAAGCATCCTTGCGGGCACTCTTATCATCGCTGTTCTGGACTTCCTCCTCCAAGCGGTCACCCAGAGCATCGCAGAGGTCAGGGAATTCCTTCTCGTCGGCAAAGGTACACAAGGCAGCCATAACTTCCTTCCAGTTGGACAAGTCGGCATTATGCACCACATCCCATAGGTTCTTACCCACAATAGAGGCGAGCAAGCGCATATAGTTAGGACCGTTAGCCTGCTTGGAGAAGTAGTACTCCTGCGCCTTTTCGATGCACTTCGGGCCACCACAAATAGCAATCATGAAAGCATCGGACATCTTATCCTCCTTGAGGGCAACATCCAGAGCTTTCTCAAACTCTCCAAGGAGCAAGGCCCGAGTAATCTTTTGCTCTGCCTGGGTTTCGGAGCCATTGAAAATTTGGAATGGGTTGTTGGTTTGAGCACCCTTGGAAGCAGCCAGTTCGGAAAGGAAGCTGTCACCTTCGGGGTTGGCATCGAACATGGATTGCAAACGCTTGTGCTTCTTAACCTCAGCGGGTTTGGCGGCAGCACCATTGGTGTTCTCGCCTTCCTTCTTGTCCAACCCAAGCTGGGCAAGACTATCGGCAGCATCATCAACCTGATCCTGGAATCCCAGGTACTCCACCAAGTTCTTGCGTGGGTTTTCGGAAATCAAAGCCTGCATCACCTTCCAGTCTGCCTTTTCTGCTTCATTGGAAGCACCTGAAGCGCGCGACTCGCAGAGGGTACGAATATCGCCCTCTTTCAATGCAGTCTCAAAGCTCTCAGTGGCATTTCCAACGCTCTCATCAACCTCGAACGATGTGATTTTGATAGTGGATGTACGAGAGCCCTTCTCGGTCAGACCGAAGGAAACAACCCGACCTCCGAAGCCAAAAGTAGCACCACAAGGCCGCTCAAGCCAGCGAGGAGCCTTCGGGAGAGAGAACTTGGAGACTTGGGGCTGCGTTTGTGCCTTGTTGAAGAAGTCTTCGCCGTCCAAGGCTTGGTTGTGATCGGCGATGGCCTGGGCATTATCGGTCTTCGTGTTCTGCAGGGTTTGGACACAGATCTTTCCATCAAATGACGCGGTTGCGAAGAAGTTCGGGTTGTGGGGGTTCCAGCGGGTTTGGAAAGTCCAGTTTGTGACAACGGGGAACTCTCCATATGCTTGGCCAGTTTGTGGGTTCCAACAGATATTACGGTTATCTTTGCCGGAAGACAAGAGGAGATCTGGATCATGCTCGCACCAAGAAAGTGAGAGCACACCGGACTCGTGGCCAGTGAGTGTCTATACAAATCATTGTCAGTATCAAGTCACACCTGGGCTCCGAAAGAGTAACCTACCCGCTCCGGGGCGTGGGAGTTGCGCAGGTCCCAGACATAGAGCACTGGGTCTGACTCGAGGGGTGACGATGTGATAAGCTTTGTGGGCTAGGCGTGAAAATGGTCAGCAATCCTGGAATAACCACGTAGGAGGTGGCAACATACCCTTTCGGGGTCCCATGCGACTGCACTGACAGCCTTCCGGCCCTTGTTGTTTAGTGTCAGACTCTCCTTTTTCGTCTTGACATCCCAGACAGTCACAAAGCCGGAGCTGCTACCAGTCACCAGAATGTGGGGAACCTTCCTGTTCCAGTCCAAACAATCGATATCGTCGGTGCGAGCCGCGTTGTTGCCCAACCGGAATGGGTTCTCGATGTTGTTTAAATCCCAGATAAAGAGCTATCCAGTAATTAGCCATATATCCAATCCGTTCTTCTAGAATCACAGCCTACCTCTCCCTTTGCGCCACCGGTTGCCAGAAGATTCGGGTGTTTCGGGTTGAACTGAAGGGTCTTGATGGCGCCGCTGTGTTTAGTGGTTCTTGAGATCAACGCATCACTGGAATTGAACAATCAGCAAGATATCCCAGGAATGTGACTCCATATGTAGGGTTCAACCAACCTGGATCCAGCAAGTAGCTTATCAGCATCCCATAGCTCCAGCGAGCCATTCTCTAAGCCACCCGCAATCACACCCCGTTTGTTATCTTCGGACGTCGTCCAGGCCACATCGTTGAAGCTAGTTACATGAATCGGTCAGTACGCTCATCCTCGTTCATGTTTCCAAAGACCCACTTACCCAGAGTCGGTATCAAGCTTAGCTAGCGGCTGCAGCTCCTCGCTCGCATCTTCGCGGTCAAGGCCCAGATCCCACAGCTCGAGACATGTCTTATTAGAGAAGTCGGCGTCGACAGCTCCAGCGCGAGTTCCAGTTGCGATCAATGGCGACGCAGCCCCGGGTGACCAGGCGAAGGTGGCCGTCCTTGGGATTTCCCTTAGACGCACCATGATGATGGTAGGGGAAGTATGTGTTGGTGAGGATCAAGACCAATAGAGTATGTGAAATATATGATCCAAGGAACAATAAAACCCAGGTAATGTGGAAGAAGAGGGATCAAGAACCACCCCCTATGAATAATTGACAATGGGGTGATGCTCTAGATGTTCCAAGTATAGCAGTAACCAAGTGGCCTCCTGGACTTGGAGGGACCGGGGAACTCACGCTAGACCGCTTTAAGACTCGCCAAAACACTCCGAGGTGAGCTGCACGTGATATCAATCTTCCGTTCTGGGCTGATAGCAAGATACAGCTTGGATTTAGAGTCTCGAACAAAAAGCTTTCTTTGTTGGTTTCACATCCCTTTCTCCTGGATTCTTCTACCCTGTGTGATCTCGCCACATTGCCACCCAAATAAACGGTCTACCAATTTGACCCGAAGCGCAACTACACATCATGAGCGAAACAACGCGGCTTAAGAGCACCATCTACGTGGGTGGTCTTGACCAGGGAGTGACCGCACACACCCTTGCGGAAGCTTTCGTTCCATTCGGCGAAGTTGTTGATATCTCGCTACCCAAACCGGAGCAACCCAACGCGGCCGAAACTCACCGTGGATTTGGATATGTGGAATTTGAACTACCGCAAGACGCCAAAGAGGCAATCGACAATATGGATGGCAGCGAGATCTATGGGCGCACCATCAAAGTCGCCGCTGCAAAGCCACAGAAGGATGCCAACGAGGGACTAGGCAGCAAGACTGCGATCTGGGAACAGGTGCGTTGGGTTCGATTTTATATCTACTCGCAATCTATACTAACCGGTATATCTTATAGGAGGGGTATTTGGCCAAGCATGCTGTTAGCGAGGAGGATCGGATAGCAGCGGAGGAAGCTCAGGCTGCAAGCAGTCGTCCCCAAGATGCTATGCAGGGATTGGAACAATTAGATGTTGCTGGGCCGAAGCCCGAATGAAGCACGCTACACTTTACGATAGCTACGACGAAGATGACAAACAAAAAAGCACAGTCACACACGACAGTACAATTTGCCAATTACACAACCAGGATTCGGGCTCAGGAAGCAAGCCGGAATATGTACACGGGCTCCAATCTCGAGCCCATTCCTGTTTTTCTCCAATGGCTTTTCTCAAATCATGCCCATCGGCTTCAAATTCTCCTAATCAACAATACAAGCGATAAGAATCCAAAACTGCGGATCGTATTCTGAGAGCTCAAAGAAACATGGTGGTACATTTAGTGCTCACGGCTCTCGGGGCTGTTGCGGTGAAGACGCAGGGTCTTGTCGGTCATCAGCTTCTTGCCACAAGAGTAGACAGCAGCGCCAATGGCAACACTAGAATTAGGAGTTAGCATCGGGGAAAGACATGAGCTTGGTTGCCAGTGAAGGGATATAGGGGATAAAATTCCGGCATGCGTCGGACATGTTATCCCGGAATCAAGTGGCAAATAGTATCCAACAGGGAGAAACATACGCGAGGACGAAGCCTGAATATCAAACACACCGTTAGCTAAATTTCATATTGTGAAGTCATGACTATGGCACATACCGATGGGGAGCAACTCGGGGGGCACACGCTTAAGCTGGCGCAGGCGCTGGGAGATAGTGTGAGCTAGAGGCGCATAGTTAGTTCAATTGTTCTCGTGGGAGTAAAGTCATTCTACATGACTCCGTTGATGACCGGATCCGGTGATCGCAGAGGTGCATACCACTTTGTTGCTCCTTCTACAGACAAAAGTTAGTAACCGAGCCGATCGTATGATCACAGAATTGCGGAAGGGAAGAACATACAGGAGTAGGGAAAGCAAAGGCCCGAGTGGGCTGCATCCGCAGCATGCGAGTGGGATACATGGTGAGATCTGTGGTTCAACCCTGGAGAAGCAGAAGAAGAGTGGGATAGAGGACGAGGTTGGAACACCAGCTTTCCAAGAACGTGACTGGCTCGGGTGTAAAAGCGAGACGCTCAGTGGCTCTCGCTTGACCGCCCGCGGTCATACCCGGCACTTCGCAGCTTCAATCACCCAACGTCGCTCTTCCCGGCTCACTTTCTCCCCTCCTCTCTTTTCACTCCACTCCAATTCTTTCTCTGTGTTGTTTCTCAAGAAGCTACACATCGCAAATATGGGTGCCATTCCGGAAGCCGACCCCGATGAGGTCCTCGAGACAAAGCCCTTCAAGTTCGTCACTGGTAAGTCCACTAACCCCCTCCCGCGAAAACCGGGGCCAGGAGCCCTATATAGAGTCAATGGCTAATTTAATAATTTAATTGCAGCTGGTGCGTAAACCTTAGATATTTCCCCCGCTTCTTTCGCTCGTCGCATGCGCGTGGACCGATATCCCCCGATCGGCTGATGTATGGTGTAATTGACAATTTTCGATCAAATCGCAGGCTACGATGCCCGTTTCCCCCAGCAGAACCAGTACGTGATAAGCTGTTATTTGGGTGTTTTATATCTATCTAACGTTAATTTGCTCCACAGGACCAAGCACTGCTGGCAGAACTATGTCGACTACTACAAGTGTACCACTGCCAAGGGCGAGGACTTCCGTCCCTGCAAGCAGGTAATTTCGACACCGATACTATGATGAAAACCTAGCAGCTTCTAACAGCTTCTCTCGCAGTTCTACCACTCCTTCCGCTCTCTTTGCCCTAAGGCCTGGACCGATCGTTGGGACGGTCAGCGCGGTACGCATCCAAAAGTCCCTTCTGGATATGTGTCTATTTATACTAATTTGTGTTAACAGAGGCTGGTAACTTCCCTGTCAAGCTTGACAAATAGATGACCAACAGCTGTTTTGGGTTGGCCAAGTTTTTGGGTTGGTCAAATGAGGCGTGTCAAATTTTTATGTATCGACAAGTTCCAATGTACTCTACTGGGTCACTCGGGGACACAACCCCTCTATTTCCTAGGTCATTCCGCCTGTGTAAAGCAAGAATGTGTTATAAACTCGCCGTATTTGTAGAGAGAAATGTATTGTTAGCTGGTGCTTGTTATGACTCTTTTGAAGCATGAGCAGTCCTACAGTACTGTTCACCAGTAGATGCTTGCAATCATTGCGAACGATTGGACTGTCAACTTAGAATATTCAGTAGAAACCCGTCATCCTTGCAGAAATGTTCTTGAATGCGATTCGGTGTATATCTATCTAATTCTATGTAATCCCAGCTCCGACAAGAAAAATACATCATCCGGCACACTATACAAGGCCAGAGGACCATGTTCTAGATATGCCCCAAGGCCGTCTCCGGCCGTCCTCCGAATCTTCGATGAAAGAAACATCCGAAAGAATGCAAGTTATATACAAGCCAAAATGAAAATGGCGGGCATGAGTCCCAAAGTGCACCACCCAGATAGAAAGCCAGAGAAAATGACAAAAAATCGTATATACCGATGATATATCGGACAGAAGGCGTAAACGCTGTAATATTGGGTGAAATCGGGGAGGGGGAGGGGAAAAGAGTCACAAAAAGGGTTAATCACTCTTTGGATCTTCAAATGCCCTTCAGCTTGCGGTAGAGCTTCTTGTGCTCCTCGAGGAAGAGGAAAGTGGCAATGGTATGGGGACCAAGACGGATGAAGCTAGGCACCCAGCCGCGGAAAGTCCATGCCAGGCCTTCCTTGCGGCAGATATCACGCAGAAGAGTAACGATATTATGACTAGCACCCTCCGCATGAGAAGCGGTCATAATACGAGTCTTGATCACGTCGACGGGGCTGCAGACAGTGGTAGCAACGAAGCCTGCCATGAACGAGGCCGTGAAGTGTGTGCTCAGATTATCAGCCATGCCAGCCTTCTCAATACACATGCGCTTGAAGGTATCGTAAGAAGCGAGCTGCGAGGCAGTCATGAGGATTGCGCGAGTTGAGTTAGGCCACACTCCGCGGAAGAGAGAACTGAATCCCTCCGTCCGGGTCATCTGGATGAGTCCGTGGAATGCGTGTCGGTAGTTGCGTCGCTGGGCGGGAGGGAGAGATGCATCGTGTTGCATACGAACGTTCATCACATCAGCTGGGTTGCCTGCAATGCCGCCAATGAAGCCAGAGGCGGAGGCAATCCCAATGAGAGTGAGGAGGCTGGGTGTGCCGTTGGGATCTGAGGTGGGCGAGACAACGCGCGACTTCAATTCTTCGTAGATACCGAAGCGCGTTGTGGAGTATGTGATTTGACGTAGCATCGCGGCTGACAACTATATTCCCATATCCAATCCGTCCTTCGTTAGCCAACTGTGCTTGTTTATTGATAACCGCAAGGTATTCGCTATCGACTGGAATTTGGGGTCACGTACACCACCGTATAAACCCGTGAAGCCATTATTCTTCACAACGTGGACAAATGTCCCTACCATAGTCTTCGGAGCATCGGGCGTACGAGTCTGTAACCGGACCTATTATGCGACAAACAGATATCAGCGTCGGGGGTCGGAATCGCGGCCGTGAATAGACCGTCGGAGGAACGACTGGGAGCTTAGGATTACCTTAACTATGGACACAAAGTCAGCAAATAGTATAGACTCGAAGGAAGAAGAAGAAGCACATACCTAAATCTAACGGGTGCGTCACGGAGGCAGCAAAGCATGAGGCCGACCCTCCAAACCAAAACGGGTAGTGCACCTGCTTCGGCTTTGACGCGGGCTTCTGAACGGGCACTCGGGAGTGAGGAGCAACCTCTAACATCTTGCCTTCTGCCATCTTGTTGAGAAACAAGACCCCTATAAATGTACAAATAAAAAAAGGCGGGGGAGAGAGTGTTCAAAAAAATATGCTTTTTTTTTTTGGACCTTTTTTCGGCTTTGCGAACGTGACTTGACGTAATTTTTTGACCTTCTAATACCGACGGAGACAAATCAGAAGGCCGAAGCCACTCGGCCACCCGCTGAAATGCAAAGAATCAGCCAATCAGATCAAGTGCCTTGATGGGGACTTATGACTTGTACCAATCATATTCTCGGTTTTGCAGTCTTTTCCTTTGCGCCGGACATCTCTTGTATGGAACATACAGCCCTGGCCTAGATCCTTCAGGGATCCCTGTATATCGCCTTCTTCGGTCGTTGAAATGGATGCCGAGGGTATCTTGGCGGCATATAACCGTTATAATTGCTTCAACAGAGCAGCTGATAGATGACGAGATCAGCTATCATGGGAATATTCGGAGTTTTTACGGATATTGGTCGGTTGGATTCGGACTTCCATGGAGGGGTGCAGCCCGGAGGGGCAGAACACGGGCAGAACACCATATGCATAAAGGCTGCCTGGGCAAGGATTATGGCTGTGGGTGAGGTAACCCGGGTATAAAAGGTGTGAGATATCCTAATGACTAGATCTAGGGCTACTTTGGTTCAATGTATTGTTGTCCGGGTATTCTCTCAGCGCAAATGCTACAGTATTTGTATTCAATCGTAGTCACGGATAAAAATAAAAACGAAAGACCTAAACAGGACTCAATCTCAGCTATAGTACTTGATTTTGTTCGGAGCTAAGTATGTGCACTAAAACAGATGTAGTTATAATCCATAAAGTGATGATCTGCATAGTGGACAGAGAACCTCGATTTAGACATCTGGAGGCTGAAATGGCTGGGGCTGCCAGCTGTAGCAACTGTACAGAATGTAAACATATTAACATTATGAGCCTCTCTCTTCTAGAAAGAGGTAAATGCTAAGCTTTCTATAGTTTTTTAGTTTTGCAGATTGAATCGATAAATGTACTTCGGGAACTAATTTCGCCGACCCGAAACATGTGTTGATAGTGTTGATAGACAATTCTCACACCAGACGTCCAACGCAACCATGAGGCTATTCGCTACCGGTCGAGCCCTGCGTGCAAGCAGTGGCCGTTGGTCAATTACCTCAATCCGACCCCAAACCGCCATTTCGCGCTCCCTCACACTGACTCCCATTCTTTCCCGCAACCGCGAATGGAGCTCAACCACAGCTCGCCGGAGTGAACCGAAACCAAGCACTACCTCTAAAACACCCCAGCAAAAGTCGAGCCTCAAACTTGAAGGGGAGACCTACCCAACCGACCAGTGGACCAACACCCCCGATACAATCCTATCCCATATCGGACGACGACTCTATCTCGACGACAACCACCCTCTCGCGATTACCCGCAAACTCATTGAAAGCCAATTCGCAGCTCCCAGCTATGGCAACTACTCAGAGAAGAACCCCGTTGTCTCAACAAGACAAAACTTCGACGTCCTCGGCTTCCCCCCAGACCACCCGGGCCGCAGCCGCACGGATACCTACTACGTGAACGACAAGACCGTGCTGCGCACCCACACAAGTGCACACCAGCAGGCGTATTTCCAGCAAATTGCCCGCAATGAGCACACCCGTCCCGAGGAGGTCGGATACACCGTGATCGCGGATGTCTATCGTCGCGACGCGATCGACCGCAGCCACTACCCGGTCTTCCACCAGATGGAGGGTGCGATGCTATGGAAGCGGCCCGCGACAGACCCGCTCTCCGCATCGGCCGAAACAGCAGCAAAGATCATGGCAGACGTAGAGAAGATCCCGCGCCACGACGTTGTGGTCGAGGACCCGAACCCGACTATCCACGCGCAGCGGAACCCGCTGCAAGACGAGCACCACAGCGCCGAGGAGGTCGAGGCTGTCGGCGCTCACCTCAAGCGTTCCCTCGAGCGGATGGTGATTAAGATCTTCACAGAAGCGAGCAAGGCCGCTGCAGCGAGTAACGGTGGCGTGGAGCAGGAGCCGCTCAAAGTGCGTTGGGTCGAGGCTTACTTCCCGTTCACCAGCCCTTCCTGGGAGCTGGAGGTGTTCTGGCAAGACGAATGGCTAGAGATTCTGGGATGCGGTGTTATCAAGCAGGATCTGTTGATCAACTCTGACGTGCCGGACCGGATTGGGTGGGCGTTTGGACTAGGCATTGAGCGCATTGCTATGCTTCTTTTCAATATTCCTGATATCCGACTGTTCTGGTCTCGTGATGAGCGGTTCTTGTCACAGTTCCGCGCTGGCCATATTGCCCGCTTCGAACCTTTCTCTAAGCACCCGGCTTGCTATAAGGATGTTGCTTTCTGGCTGCCTCCTGCGGCCGTGACAGGTGGTAGCAGTGCTGCTGGTGGGGGTGTGCCTTTCCACGAGAATGACGTTATGGAGATTGTTCGTGGGATTGGTGGGGACCTTGTTGAGGATGTTACTCTCATTGACGAGTTCACGCATCCTAAGACTTCGCGCAAGAGCATGTGCTACCGCATTAACTACCGTAGCTTGGAGCGGACTTTGACGAATGAGGAGACTAATGGGATGCATCTGAAAGTCCGTGAAAAGCTAGTTGGAGAGCTTGGAGTTGAGCTGAGATGAGCTCGGAGATTGTTCGGTTATAATTTGTACTATACTGTGATTATTATGGAGAATATGTAAAATATAGCATTCCTCTCATTAGGCCAATATGGACATATAGGCGTCATTAAGCAAACTTTCTGATAGATATAGACATAGACAGCTTTGTATTAGATTAGAGTATAATTCAGGGGTTACCAAATGCGGAAGGAGAATGAAGACATCAAAGGCTATAACAGTGCCCCGAAGAAGTGTGTATTATACAGACGAGGAGAGAGTTATCAGGGGACATAAGAGGCACAGATGTCACGAAACAAGTGAAAAGACAACACCAATATGAGACGATCCGTGCGCCTCCAGACACATGCAAAAGGGATGTATCATACAGCCGAATCCAAGAGACAAGCAGAAAGATAGCAAGGAAGAGAAATTTTCCCGGGTCCAAAAGCCAGCCATATCCGAGCATAAAACCCTATCGTGATCATGATGTATGACATATGGTACAGAGTGAAGTAAAGAAGAGTGAAAATGCGGAATTAGAGGTCATCGAAGGAGTAAGAATCGAAGTTTTTGCCGACGACTTAAGCGTTCTTGACGACACCAACCTTGGCAGCCTATAAGAGAGAAAACAGTCAGTTCACAATACTCTAGAATCTTGAATATTAGTGGGTGGCACTCACCCGCAGAACGCGGCCATTGAGCTTGAAGCCCTTGCTCTGGACGTGCATAATATCGCCGTCCTCAAGACCAGCAGCCGGAGCCATGAAGGTAGCCTCGTGCAAGTTGGCATCGAACTTCTGGGTCTTACCGTCGACCTTCTGGGCGGGATCGAAGCGCTCGAGACCGTGCTTCTGGAGAGTGTTCAGGAGGATGTCCTGGGTCATGTTGAGACCGGCGACAAGATCGTGGAGGTCCTTGTTCTCTTCCGTCTTGGCAACGGCGAGCTTCTCCGCGGGCACGGCCAGCAGCGCGCGGTCAAAGTTGTCGATACTGTCGAGGAGGTCCTTGGCGAAACCCTGGATGGCGAACTTACGGGCGGCGTCCATGTCGCGCTTGTTGCGCTCAACGAGGTTGCGGGAGTCGGCGACGGAGCGGAGCCATTTATCCTAATAGGAAGGTTGGGTTGGTATTCGTCTGCGAAATAGCTGCGGAGCTACCCGTAGTAGTATGGGGAAATAACCTACCTTGAACTCAATGGATTCCTTGGTCTTCTGTTCGAGCTCCTTCTTGACGGGGTCCTCGGCCTCTGCATTTTCTGCTGTCTCGGTTTCGGTGGCTTGCTTAGTCTCTGTCGAGTAGAGACGGGTAGACCGGGGAGCGAATGCCCGGATAGCCGGGATACGTGGTTGTTGTGTAGTCCGTCGCAGCGCCAGCGATGCAGTGGAGGGAGATGTGGAGAGAATGGAGCGGGCGGCCTGAGCCTGTCTGAAGATGGTTCGTTGGAACATTATGAATAGTGTGACGTGGAATTGAGAATGGAGCTCTGTGAACTTGATGCGGAACTATTTGTCCTCGGATAAAATTCATCGGGAATCACCTGACCGCCTTGGCCTTGGCCTTGGTAAGGAAAAACGCTGGGCCGAGAGGACTTCAAGGTTCTTCTGACTTCTACTAGATCAGGACTTAGTAGAAGAGTAAATGATACACATAACATCATACAATATCATGGCTCCCTTTCGATCTGATATATGGTACCTAATACGTTGATATTAAATTGGTTATCAGCTTAGTCAATGGGCAACTATCACTACTTACCACGAATTAGTTACCGCAGATCATTGTATAAACTTAGTTGAACCAGGACTTTATTGATTTGTGACTTGCAACTATCGCCCAATGGGCCCGTTGCAAACCCGAGCATACAAAGGATAGAATTCCGACTCCAATATGTGTTCAATCGGAGTTCTATTGCTCATGGCTTTTGTACAAGTTGCTTTAGCGTAACGACCAGGCATCACAAAACATCAACACAGACTGCCGGTTGTCCGGGCATATTGCTTCGAGGGACTCTTCTTTTTTACTCTTCGGATTAGTGCCCTTGATACTTGATTTCTTCTACTTCTTGGCCTTCTGTTTCCATTTTGTTACGAATACTTTTAGGATTGATGTGAGATCTTGACCTACAAGTTCTTAGCTCTCATACTGGTTCAATATGCAGAGAAGTATGCCTTTCAAGTAAGATGATGGTTGATCACCGCTTCATTAATAAAGGTTCTTACTCTAGGTTGACAATTTCCCGGCTAGATCAACCCTGTGATCACGACGCACTCACTATGTTGCTCTTTCCACATGACCGTCATTCTTTTCGAATTGAGCAATGTTTGACAACATGATGTTGGCGATCGACTCTAGCGCTTCACGAGATAAGAAAACTTGGTTCCCGGTCACAATCACGTTAGGGAGCGTAATCAAGCGCTGAAAGGTGTGGTCTCTGACGATCTTTTCAGATGAATCGCGGAAGAAGAGAGGATTCTCCTTCTCATAGACGTCCAGTGCCGCTCCACCCACGTGTCCAGATTCCAATCCGTCTAGAAGAGCGGTGCTGTCAACCAACGAACGTCCACTATTTACAATAACCACTCCTGGTTTCGTGGTCTTCAGGCTGCCTGCGTCGATGAGATGCTGGGTGTCTGGTAGCAGAGGACAGTGTAGGGACACCACATCCGCGTGGTGGAGTGGTTCATCCTTACCCACATATTTCACGCCGATGCTAACAAGATCTGGATACTCCACAACATCGTGTGGCCACACCCAAGGCTTGGTCGGTCGTTCCCGACCTACCAAAACACCGATATTGCCAGTGCCAACGACACCGATATTTCGACCGTACAAATCACTGCCGACAAGACTATTGAGAGAAAATTTGTCCTCTCGAACCCGCAGCCAGGCTTTGTGAATTTTGCGTTGTAAAGATATGACCAGACCCAGGGTGTATTCTGCTACTGCGTTGGGAGAGTAAACAGGGACCCGGCATTCCCACGTTGGAATGTAATGACCTCTCTATGATGGGTACAAAATCCGGCTTCATGAGTGTTGAACGCCCATGATTTTGACTCATGATGAAATATTGCCACCGAGTCCCAAAGTATGAAGCCAACATTCTTTTCAGTCCGATCGCACATTTTGAAATTCATATATCTTTCGTCATTGACATAGGGAAGATGCCACAGAGAAGTATAAGAGGTTAGTATTGAAAATGACGTAAATAAGCATGGCGAGGCAATGATCTCCCAGTATGTATCTGGTCGAGTTTGTAAGCGTTCACGGTTGTTTGAATACACAGGTAATACCAACGCATAAGGGGCTCTAAGAAATTTTGTTTACTGAACTTGTTTGGCTTATATCTATATATCTACAGGTCTAACCATGAAACTTGTCATCGTACATATTGGAAAATTACGATAAAAGATCTATATTACCATTCCTACTAAGCGGGTGACCCCTAGGAAGACAACTCACAGGTCCTTGCTCTGTGTACTTGAAGCCCAATAGAGTTAACAATTACCCACATTGCTCAATCGTCTAGGTTTATCAAGCCTGCTGTGGCTAGAGCAGCTCTCCTAGCCAGATCCTAGCCAGATAATGTCAGAGAAAGAGCGTATAGTCAAGACATGATATGCAACTCACATCGGTTCTTTCTCGTACTAGAATAGCAATTCCGATGAGAAAGAAATCATGAGAAGGTGGGGTAGTTGGATTCCCGCATATTGGAGTGACGTCGGCATGCAAGGATGTTCAGTATAAACTAGAACCATTTCAACAACTTTGAATATTTCCGCTATCAATAGTCCAAAAACAGTATGTCGGGCCAAATCACCCACCGTCGCGCCTTTAGACGAACAGACGATTATACTCCCGGAAAGCCGAAGTTAAAGCTTGTCCAAGAAGCGCTCGTGTTACCACTTGCACCGACCGCAGTCTTGATCATAGTCCATGCCGTCGCACTTAACTACCGAGACGCCAACATCGCGAATGGCGGGAACCCTTGGCCCGTGGTTCCAAATGGGATATTGGGCAACGACGCGGCGGGCGAGGTCCTCGCAGTTGGAGATAAGGTGAAGACATTGGTGGTCGGGGATAGGGCCGGGCCAATTACGGATACTGAGAATATTTCCGGGCGTGAAGTGAAGCGCTCATGGCTGGCAGCAGACGAGGATGGAGTTATGGCGGATCATATCATTTTCAACGAGGATGCTCTGTGTAAGCTCCCGGACTATCTCGACTGGGTTGAAGCTGCTTTGATTCCTTGCGCTGGTGTTACCGCTTGGTCGGCGTTGAAGGGTATGCGTATTGGACAGACTGTGTTGATTCAAGGTATCTGCTCCTGGAGTTGAGGCTTGGGCCGACCTTAACAACTGAATTAGGCACTGGAGGGGTCAGTGTCTTTGCACTCAAGCTTGCAAGGGCAGCGGGCCTTCGGATAATTTTGACATCTTCGAGTGACAAGAAGCTCGAACAAATGAAGACCAAGTATTCGAACCCGCCGATCATGATGATAAATTACTCTCAAATGCCAGACTGGGACAAGGAGGTTCTCAGGTTGACCAACGGCATTGGTGTGGATATTGTTGTTGAAACTGGCGGGTCAAGCTCTTTGGTTAAGAGTATAAGATGTACTCGACGTGGCGGTGTGGTCAGCCAGGTCGGATATCTCTCACGACAGGACCCTAACGACCTGCGGGAGCTGATCCCGGCCATTATCGATCGGAGGACTATTTTGAGGTGAGGTTTATGCTATGATACTTTGATTATTGGATACCGGAGTCTGACTTGAGCCAAACAGAGGTATCAATGCAGGGTCAAAGCATGATATGGAGGACTTTTGTGCTGCGCTATCAGCAGCTCAAACGCCGTTGAATGACCTCATTGACAAGATATTCCCATTTGAGCAAGCCGAAGAGGCTGTTGAATATGTTTGGCAGGGTAAACAGATTGGAAAGATTGTGCTCCGTATCTAGACATAGGTCTCGCCTCTTCGAAGGCACTGCAATATGTGACTACATGGACGATGTCTCGAGCTCAAAGAATCTAGTCAATACCTGGGACTAGGGGCAGATATGACATTCAATCCATTTTACATGTTTGTCAGACTATGTATGAAGGAAGCATGATCATTATGATATGTCGCTTAATTGGGGTATTTTGAAACCATATGAAGCCATGGGAGACTGGTAATCTTAACAATTCCCGCAACTAACCCTGGGAAATCACCATCCACCTTCAAAAGAAATTGCTTCCTCTCAACGGGAATGGGGGCTCTGTGCGTTTTCGGCATGAGACTTCAGGATCCGCATGATGGCACGACCTTCCTCTTGATGCTCCTCCCTCTTCTTGTCCAACCCGTATTCAACTAGAATTGCATTCTCAGACATGTGTCTCCTCTTGAACCATCCACTCTCGGATTGTGTCAGCGGCTCTACGCCAGAGGCCCGAATCAGACCGGAGGCTTTCAAGATTGCAAACCTCTGCCGCTCGGACTGGGGCCAGAAGGCATGAATCATGTAGAGTCCATTCCGGAGCAAAGGTGAAATTCCGAACTGATGACCGAATGGAGGATCGCTAAGTTGGACTTGGTACAGGCTGGGGCCTTGACCCATGGGCTTGAAGTAGGCCACGGTACGACCACTTTTGCTCATAATTTCACCGGATTTATCTGAGGAAGGCGGGCCGCCCCAAGTGATAATGTAGTCGTCCGTCACAGGGCTTCCAATAATATTACAGAGGATTGCAGGGGTATGTAGCACGTTCTTCAAGTGGAGGGAGCCGTCCGTATCCGAATCAGTCTGGGTAGGCGATCTCATGGTGGCGAGGTTGACGGTTCCCATCCCAATGACTTCGACCGAGCCTCCAGCTATATCCGTGACATAGGACCTGAATGGGATGTAGTCTTTTCCGAACCAATGGCGATCTTTGACAACACTAATTGAGTTAGATAGATGCATTCAACTTTTCGAGGGGGGAAATACTCACTGGGTGTCGGAGTGATTGGAAAAGACCCAGGCGGGACATAGAGGAGGCGGCCTCTGAGTATTTTGGGGCATCGGGGCCATGGTGAAGCAGTGATTTGTGTCAAGACAACCCCGAGGAGCTGGGGAAAGTTTGCTGAAGAAGTTCAGTTCTGATTCTAGAAAACACAGATACAGAAAAAGATCCGTACGCTGTATTCGCTATGTGAAGAAGTTGGTTGAAGGATGAGGATGAGAGGGAGACGAAGAGAAGTAGAGGGAAAGAGGGAAAGAGTCAAAGACAGGACTTGTTTGTCTGTTGGCGTGATTTCACTGTAGCCTCAGACCTCACCCATTTTCTATCTGCATTACAAGTGTGTCCAGACAGTCATAGAAATTATCAGCTTACTGTCGTTGAGGACCAGGTGTTTCTCCCTTACAGACAGACTCGGCATTCTATGAACTAAAACTGTCTGCCCAGGCATGAACATAAAGTCAATAATCTATCTCATGAAGTGATAATGATATGCGTCGTCAACGCTGTCAACCATCATATAAATGAACAAGTTTGATGATGCTCGTCCCGTCGGCCAGGATCTCTTTCTCTTCCTCAAGTTGGTAGCCTCCCCATCGTGGGAGTAACACTGTCCAGACATACCAGTAGAGAACCCCAAAGAGTACACTGTGTTTGTTAGCTAGAAAACCTCGCATGGAAAAAGGCTGCCACCCACATTCCAATCCCGACAATTGCATAGGTAGCATAGAAGAAATCGACATCCCCTTTCCAATTCGGCGGCGGGATGAAGGGTGCTACTAGCAGGACTAAACACACCACAACTCGTAACCAGACAGCGGGCAGCCACGCTTTGAATGGTCGTGGAAGGTAAGGCTCCCGGTATCGTACTAAAAGGAGACCGACGGTGATTGCCAAGGAAAACATCTGTCCAGGGTATCCCTCCAAGTCCAAGATAAAGTTATATACGTCCCCTTGTGGCGGTAGGGCGAGAACCAACACAGAAGGGATATAGTGTACAATAAGTCCACCTAGCGGAGTGCCAAATGGCCGCGAGGATGAGAGAATATTTTGCCATGGAAGAAAGCCTTGTCGGGCTATCTCTTGATTCACACGTGCCTAAAAATGTTAGTATTTAGCAGCTTTCAACTCCATATATCTCAAAAGCGTACCAAGGCAAAGGTCACCACCATCACATTCCCGGCAGCTGATATGGCAATAGCAAGTGGAAAGAATATCTTTCCGACGTGGTCCCCGAATAATCTTTGGAATAGTAGTGCGCCCACCAGTTCCCCGTTATTTTTGATATCTTCGAGCGGAATGACCAGGAAGTATGAAAGATTCGCAAGAAAGTATAGGCCACCGGCTGTGATTAGTGCAGTTGGACAAACGGTCTTTATTATTCCCACGGGATCATGAACCTCACTGAGGACATTGTTCACGTTGCTCAACCCAGCATAGGAATAATAGACTTTGAACAAAGCCGACGAAAGTGGACTCCAACTCCAATTCGATCCTTCCCATATCGAATCCCAAGACAATGAACTGCCGACCGTTGACACTGGAGAGATATTATCAGTATCTCTATAGAACTGGAGAAAAACAACCCAGATCCCCGTCAAGGACATGGCGCCAATGAGGAAGATCTTCACCCAGCCAAGGACATTCTGGACAAAGATGCCAGTCTTCAAGAAACAGCCGTGAACAATAGTGATGGCAGTCAAGAGGCCAACAGCGAGCATCTTATGCTGAAGCTCAGTGGGCTCAATACTCAGCGCGAAGAGCGTGTATTTCGAAAATATAATGCAGTTGCTCGCTGTGAACCCCAGAAGCACTACCTGGGCTGTTATAAGGCTTGATGCGAGAAACCGCGGTCGGGGATAGGCATACTCGAGGTACACCTGCGCAAAAAGTAAACGAATTTAGCCGACTTGTCTCTGCAATGCTGCAGCAATGTCTTTTACCTTTTCTCCTCCTGAGCGAGGTAGCATGCATCCGAATTCCATCGAGACGGCTAGGCCGCAAGCTGATAATATCGTCCCAATCAGCCATACTAGCAAGGTCAATCCGATACTTCCGGCAGATTTGACGATTGAGCCTGGTGTTGCGAAAATACCGCTCCCAATCACGCGCGAGACGACTAATATATACGCGCTTGGCCAGTTGATGCTCTTTCTGTAGGGCGTCCCTGGTAGGGTGTCGGGGTATGGCGTACGAAACTCATCGGAGGAGAGGCTGGGTGCTTCTGGCTGGGATCTCTGAGATAAGATGTTGGAGGGAATTGATGGGTTTAAGAGAGGCTGTCTTTCTTGGATGTCCATAACGAGCTGTAGATGGTTAGAGTATAGTTTGAACAACTATTGATTTATAGCGGCTACGCGAGGGAAATTGTTCAAACATTTAAATGATTTCAACCCAAAGAGGAGAATCAAGGAGATAAGGTATAGGTGCTTGGAAATCATCATGGCTGGCACGTCATTCAGGCTGACTGTTGTGTATCGGATCCTTGCAGCTATGTGGTTGACGCCATAGGAGTGTGATCGTACAACTCACATTAGATAAAAAAGCTTATTGCGCTCTGTTGAAATCGATCCTAAACTATGGCTGAGTACTCTATTCGAAAATAATGACTCGTCGTACTATATATAACTCGGGGGATTATTTAGAGGGACAAAACAAAACAAGTAACATTCCAGTAACTATTTCTAAAGCCCAGTTATTCATCTAACTTCGAAATTCCTAAGCTTCCAAAACACCAGGTTGAATATATTCGGAAAGTATCCTCATCAGAGTACATATCGGCTGTTTTCGTATTAGTAGATCCCAGGACCAATTAGTTGATGAAAACCTACAAAGTCAAATTCTCCCTGTCTGTCAAATCCAATTGACTATTATCCACGATTCGAGCGACCTTTCCCCCATCCGACCCGACGGTCTCGACAATCCCATTGCTAGCAACTTGATCAGCTTCCGCGAGCTTGTCACGGCGTTTGTTCTCTCGGCTTAGGTAGATCCGAAGCGTAATAATAATGATCGAAGGAAGAATTGCAGCGACCTTAAGAGCTGTAAGCCAAATGTTCCACATAGCTTTACAAAAACAGCACCTACCACAAGCAAAATAATCCAAGTTGGTTTATACCGAGGCTTGAGTCGTTGTTAGTATGACAACGGAAGTCAGGTCCAACGAACAACTTACCTTCCACTGCGGTCGGAACAATTGCGGGGAGATAATGTTTCCTAGTCCATATCCAATATGATAAAGCGCAATGACGGTAGTTTTCTTCGTATGACCCGCTGACGCATTGGCAGCCCATATCATCACAACGGCATATGGGATACCGGTTGTAGATCGAATCCAGATTCCAGCGATGAGACCCCATCGATTGGACCAGGGCAAGGCTGTGGGGTTAATTAGCAGTGGACCACATTAAAAAGAAGAGAACTGCTCACCTAGTAGAAGGATACTTGAAAGAGCGCCTGGAATATATGCAATGAGTGATATCCATGCTCGGCAGTCCTGGATGTCTCAGTTTACATCCACATCAAATGACCGGGCCTGATTTACCTTGGTGTGGTACAATGTGATTGCAGCTGTTATAAGAGAAAAGAATGATACGACTCCCGTCACGGTTCCTAACAGTGTTGTTTGAAGAATAGTGAAACCAAATGAATTGATGATCAGCGAGTATTGATTTGTTATTCCGTTTGCCATTTCCTGGGACCAGGCGTGTAGGAAGAATAGCCATGTTTTGGGGTCTTGAATTGCCTCGATAAACCTAAAACTCTAGTCAGTTAGTGCATCTTGAATTTCTTTGGGTACGAGGTCTGACTGATATCTTTTGAAAAGCTTCTGCTCAATTCCAGAATGGTTTTCTTTGATCCGCAGAATAGCCTTTGCACGCTCTTCGTGTGTCAGGAAGTTGGCATGGATAGGGCTGTCGGGAAAGAAGAGATAGACGAAGACACCGAAAATGACTGTGAGGACACCAGTGATAACTAAAATAGAGGTTAGCAACCGGAAGGATATACTCGGGAAACAAACATACCCATGAACCATTTCCACGGAGAAAAGCTGCCTGTTTTAATCCAAAGAACACCATAAGACAGCAAACCCGATGTAATAGGACTTGAGTTGCCAATTGACCACATAACCGGCATCATGACGGCTTGCTCGCCATAAGTAAAGAACATGGACATGGAAAGCAGGAATGCCGGAACGATGGATGCTTCTGCTACCCCAAGAAAAAAGCGAACAACAAAAAGAGAGGCAAAGCTGTTGCAAGGTATATGCAAGAGGGTAATTGCGCCCCTTTTAGAGCTGATCAGTGACTGATGTACCATTATTTGACAGGTGAAGAACTTACCATACTATCAAATTGCCAGCCAGCCACTTCCCAACAGGAAACCGCTGCAAAGCCCAATTCTGTGGCCATTCAGCCAAAAGGTACCCGAAATAGAAAATTGAAGAGAGCCAGTTATATTGATTCGAGTTCAAATGCGCATCTTGCATGATCCCTAAGATGGCAGAACTTCCAAGCTGCGAGCATGTTATTTACTGGATTTTCATATTGGGAAATTGATATAACATACCGTTTGCTTATCGACATACATCAAGTGATAGCCAATGCAAAGAAAGGGCAAAATTCGCCATAAGCATTTGTTGCGAATCTGTAGAGCTTCTTCGGGGGTGGGGTCTGTGACTTGAATTTTCGAGAACAGCTTAAAACTCTCATCGGCGAATTGATCAGGGAGCTTTGGCGCGTTAAAGTCATTATCACTTTCTTCATTGGTGTGCGTTTCCGCCTTGAAGCCGGATTTGAGGTTTGCTACTGCCATAATGTGAGATATAGGGCACGCAGAGTGAAACAACGCGACTCAGTTGAATGTACATAGATAATTGCAGCCCGGCACCGGTACTTATGATGCTCACTAACCTACAGATACAATTGCGCAATGTTCCTGAGCTCCGTCGTCTTCACACTACTGAGAGCTTCCCATGCAGATAAGGAAGAGGACTGCGGGGTCTACAGTAGTCTTCTCCTAATCTGGAAGGTCGTGCAATAGTACCTCACTTGGCAGAAGTCTATGGTTATCTAAGCGTAATCCTCACTTGTATAAACGCGATTCTGACCCCGAATTACGCCTAAAGTCGCCATTGCGGGGTTGCGTCAGCGCTGCATTGTTGGCGTGCTTAAAGGCTTGTGGCCGCCATCCGAACTACAAGAACTTTGATTTTGCCACTAACTTTTGGTTGCAAATGGTGGGTGTTGACGGGTATCCAATTGTATCAAGATGACAGAAAAAAAGAACCCATTCGCGTCTTGATTGCCGGTGCAGGTATCGCAGGTCTTGCAACGGCTATATCGCTAACACGCATATCAAATCTTCCAAATTTGGATATCCAACTATATGAACAGGCTCCAGAGCTCTTGGAAATAGGAGCTAGCATCGCGCTCAGTCCAAATGTAGGTATTACGCATTATCTTGAAATGATTATACAATCTAATCATGAATATCGAATGTCAGGGCATGCGCACACTGGAGAAACTCGGCGTACACAAAGCCCTAACAGACGAAGTCGGGTTTAGAGGCCCAAGTGGAATTCCACAGATATTCCGGTATGAAGTCGTCACATATACTCAGGTTGTACTGTTCAGCACACTGACCGATAGACGAATAGCCACTGGAAAACGGACCAAGTCGTGTCCATAGACAATCATGCCAACGTCACTGATCCCCGTCATCATACTACTCGCTTCCACCGGGGTCATGTACACTCTGCTTTGCTCGAGCATGTCCCCAAAAGATCAATCCATTTGGACAAGAAGATTGCGCGCGCGGAAGCTGACCAGGCTGGTGTTTCGTTGTATTTTGAAGACGGGAGTAGTGCCCACGGAGATATCCTTATTGGAGCAGATGGGATTCGATCGGTTTGTGATATAAGTTTGATTAGCATTGCGTTTTGCTAACTCGAGTTCAGAGTGTCAGACAATCGTTCATTCCGGATTATAAGCTACGGTTCAGTGGGAAGGTATTCATGAGGGCGACGTTTGATGCCTCGTTGGTAGAGGGCAAGATCCCTGACTTACCTACTGATTCGATGCACTGGGTATGTTAACTGTGTTGGATAGTGTCAGAGTTATTGCTAACAATACCAACAGTGGGGTCCTAAAGACAACTTCTTTGCGTCTCGGCTTGGTAAGTGAAAAAGAATCGGCATTTTATCTCTGCAGAGATCTGACGAAAGCTAGGCAAGGACCAGTACACCACCGTTGGTGCATACGATGACCCGCGCTCAGCAGAGGAGGTGGAGAAGAGCATTGCGTGGGATCAGCTTGGCAATGTAGAGTTTTTAAGACAGAGATACAAGGTACGTCCTCAATTGACCTATCCGTGCTCACCTGACTCACAGCCCATAGGACTGGAACCCCACGGTCAAAGCTCTGGCAGAGCTTACACCATCCACAAATCTCTATCCCAATTTTGCGGGAGATGCTCTCCCAAACTGGGTCTTTGGGTCACGGGTGACTCTAGTCGGAGACGCAGCCCACGCTCATGGTGGTGCCTTCGCAGCCGGAGGCTCGCTGGCACTAGACGACTCACTCGCCCTTGGCCTTGCATTCAAACATGTTTTCTACAATAGAAATGCCACGTTCTCAGCTAGAAATATCTCCAAGGCATTGGGGCTGTACAGTCAAACTAGGCAGCCGCATACGGCTCGGTTGCTGCGTATTGTGCACAGCCAGATTGACAAGAAAGGTACTATTTTTGCGACACGCGAAGAAGAAGATGCGGCACTTATTGCTCGAATGACTGGCAGGCCAGATACAGTGTGGCTATCGGAACACGATGTCGAAGCTGCGTTCAATGCGGTTGTTGAACAACTGGAAGGGGCGCAGCGACTGGTACGCCTTGCTGAGCCGGAAAGAAAGATAGGCGGAGAGACCCAGCTCCAGGGAAGTAAGTTATAGAATAGATTCATTGCCTCGTGGTTCATTCAACACAGTTTTTAGCTCATGAAGGGATTGTGTTTACGCTCAGTCACTTTTTCTTGGCAGTTTTTCAATTGTAAGACATCCTAAAGACATCCGTTTGTTGGGATCCACATATAGGAGTGCATTTTGCGACATTCGGCCCAAAGTAAAAGCAAGGCTATGGTCTGGGGTCCATACGCTTGCGGGCCGGTGCCACAAAGAGCTGTGTCAGTGCCATAGCCTGCTTTTCTTTCACCATGTCTGGGGCATAGAACATGTGCTCCATAAATAATTAAGTAGCCTTGCAGTTAAAGCAAACGCGTCTAGTCCTCATACTATTTTAAAGGCCAAGGCTTGGGGAAGAAACTGCGGGTGGCAATGCATGATAGTGGAGGCCCTAAAGGTGTAGGCAGAATGATAACAAGCCAAAGGGGGGGCTTAGGCAAGGCGAAGGATGAGGGTCAGTCTTGGAGAGTTCTCCGTACAACGCTGTATACATCGTACTCCGGACTGCTGTCATCCCGTGTTCGATTGAGTCGGATGTCCCGGCAGAAAAAGGGGCGGAGTTTCTGTTGAGAGGTCACGGGGTGTGGCTAAACTGAATGCAATATGGATGTGGCGTGTGTGGCGCATGCACAGCGCTATGGCTGAGAACGTTATAGTTTATTCTGGTAAATTGGTAAATTCCAGTAAATTTTAGCAAAACAGGGTAAAAGCATAGTAGATCACATAGCCCTTTGATCTGAAAGAGTTAGGCTTAAGCTGGGAGCAGGTGGATCGACAGGAACGTGGAGGCGTGGAATGTAAGAGGCAGTGCAGGGGGGTGACGATACATTCATAGCTGCGCCTCACGAGTCTGTACTCTGCGTTCTGTATTAAAGAAAGGCAAATCCAGACACTTTTTATCCTTTCCAAACCATTCTGAATCATTTTCGTCATCTGACAGTCTATTGGAAATTCTAGAACGTTTCTCTCAAACGGTTCTTATCCGGTGGCAACCTCCTTTATCTTCTTATCCAACCTCTCCTCCTACAACCAAACAACCCAAACCATACAACACACGAAATGGCTACTTCAGTTTCGACACCCAGATCTCTGGCTTCAGCGCCCGAATTCACTAGCTCACCCCCGTCCTCCTCCTCACGGCCATCTCTATCCCTCGATATCGCCAACATGCCCGGACTCTCCCAGCCAACACCACCCTCCAACACTCTCCTAATCACCAACCTCCACGATCTTCTCGTCTTCCAACCGCCAGCACTGGAAGAAATCCGCAACCAAATTACCGCTGTGGCACCCCTAAACTCCTTCTCCCCACTCCCCTCAATGCGCCGCATCGTGTGCTCCTTCCATAACGAGTCCGACGCCACCGCCGTGCGCAAGCTCCTGGACGGCAAGCGCCTGCTCAACCGCGACGTTTACCCCCGGATCTACTTCGGCGAGCCGACCGCAATCCTAGACGGTGGCCGACCAAAGCTCCTCGAAGCCCCGCAAGTCTCCAAGATGTTCTTTATCTCACCGCCACCCAGCCCGCCACACGGATGGGTCGTGCGCAACGAGGACCCGCCCAACAAGGAAGTCCACGCTACGGATCTTGCTCACGCACTGTCCCAACTGAATACGGATCAGACGCAGTCTGACTCTGCAGTTGACCCCGCGACGCCGGTCTCTATCTCCTCTGATAAGCGCACGTCGAGCTGGCCGGTTGCGGGCTCCCAGCAGCGCAGCAGGAGCAGCACCATCATCTACAACCCAGAAGACCATGGCAATAGTCCCAATCTTCCGGCTGTTATGGTTGAGGATATGACGCTGGATGCTGAGGATGTGGATATGGATTCTGAGATGAGCCCGATTGAGATGTCGGTTAACCAAATGCCGCCCAAGACGTCTCGTCCGCCGGTTGAGTTGATGGAGTAGATTGTTTCTGGGGATGATATTCTTTTGTGTTCTGCATTCTGATTTTTAGCGAGGCATGGTTGTGTATTGTGTATAGTCATTGCATCCGTGGCATGCCAGGCGTTGGGAAAGGATGGGAATTTCAGCAATTTGGGGACTTATAGCTTGCTCTTTATTGCTTTCTACAGAACTGTGTTTAATAAGATTTCAAAATACATATCTCTGATATTCATGCCTGATCTCTCTTGGTAGTTGCATCTGATAACCTATAGTAATGTTTACTCTGACGTCTGGGTAGTGAGCTCAGGCATCCTTTTTGACATAAGCACATTATATAGTACGCCACACTCTGCTCCGAATAAGTCCTCGCATAGTTCTAGCTCAACGACTTATGTCAAGAGACAAGAGTATGTGGAGTTGCATGCTTGGTTAGTAGTCTAGGGGCACTACCTGCTTGCTATTTAGATTGTTTCAACGCGCATGATGCAGTATCCCTTCTACAAAGATATTCGGTAGTTTTTTAGCAAAAGGTCCATGATATTCAGTATTTTCAGGTTCACTGAACCAACAAATAGATATTTGAGATACAGAGACAAGCCATTCTCTAGGGTCAGAAGACCGTCTCCAATTGCAAAAGATACAAAGAACAGAAAACTCCAGAGTGCGCCCCCAATTCACCAGGAAATCAAAACTCCATTGCGCATGCTCGAGCTCTATTTTTCTTGCTGGGTTATGCACGTTTAGAACCCATAGCTGCTCTGTCCGTACGGCGTAGCACCGTATGGTGTCTGTGCGCTAGCGCCCCAAGCACTGGCCGCACCGTTTCCATAGGCAGTCATGTTTCCATCAATGCCCTCAGGTGGCTCATAAGCATCAGGGTCATTGGCACCCATCATCTCGGCATCTTCGGCACCTCCGGCATGTCCATCTTCACCTTCGCCAAGGAGGACAGAGACGGTGGTTGCAAGCTTGCGCTGGAGCGACACGATACCCTGCTGGATAATCATATCTGGCTCAAGGTTGCCAATGCTCTCCACATCAAAGTAGAAGCAGTTAGGCTCGGCGTCGTAGTCGAAGGGCTCGTCAGGGTTGGCAGCGGGTTCCCAGGCAGCGTTTTCCGAGACAGGCCTATAAAAGTCGTTGTTAGCCAATAGATTCAAGGGACCCCGTGGATATCAAAGCAACACTTAAAATACGTACCATTCCTTCGCCGCATCCTGCTCATACCAGTAATCCACATGACGCAGGTTGTTGTTGGGGTCATATTCAAAACCGACAGCAGCAGTGGGTGCCCACTTTGCATGTTCCTTGGCAGTTCCCTTCTTCGCCAGACAAGTCATCTTAATCTCCTGCCCTTTACGCAGCTTGCAGATCAAGGGACCCTTATTCTCCGGGTCAGTGGTAACAGGATCACCAATCTTCTCGTTGATCCGCTCGCCGACGACAATCAGATCCCGCGCGTAGACGGACATGATGCCGCTACCGCATCGCGCATGCAGAGACAGCGTCACGCTGCAGCGCACACAGTGATCTTCGCAGTCGCAGTCTCGTGTGTAGTCGAGGTCTTGGTCGCAGTTGTACGAGTTCAAGGGGATCATGCCGAGGCGGTGGGCGAGGAACTCGTCGGGGAGGACTGAGGTGTTACTTTCGATTTCGATCAGGTCGAGTGCCAAAGTGGGCACTTCAGCAAGGATGGTTCGTCGGAGGGAGTTGGCGAATGCGAGGTCGACTGCAGTCAGTCTGAAGTCGACGCGGTAGGGCTCCGCCTGTGGGATTTGTGAGTTTTCTATCCTGCTACTCTGTGGAAGTCTCTCGGCTTACTTCGCGGACTGTCACTTGGGGCCCTGTGGGCTCGAGATCCATTTCGTAATCCATGTTGGTATGTATGCGGCAGCGCTGCTCGCCGCCACCCTTGTCTTGAGCTGGAGGTGTTTATCCGCGGTTCATAAAATTAAGGGGGTACGTTGAAGAGTACGAGGGGCAGTGATGAATGAGAGGGCAATGAGAACTGGTGTGGTAGATGATTCGAGCGCGAAGTTGTTGGCTTGAGGGCACGCGGATTTGCTCCCTCGGAGACAGCTTTTTGCGCTTTGCCTAATCGGGTCACACCTCTGAAAAGTGCCAATATCAAGTCGTTCGTTATTTTTTACATTTACATTTACAGTTATAATAAATACCTTCGCATATTCATTCCCTTCTTCTCCTTCTCGATTTAGAGAGTGGATGGAGTGGTTCAGATTTGATTCAGTTGCTGGGTGTAGACACTGGACCCAGCATCCAAAAAGCCATGCAAAAGACTGGTATCTAGAACTAAGGGAAGTGCGCTCGACCCAAATCTGGCAAGTGAAACAGTGCAAGCAATGGATTCAGATAAAATAGTCCGAAACCACAGTTGATAAATCAAGGGACCCTCCAGTATCAATGCAAGAATGTCCCAAAGCCCTCAAGCCTATTTGCAAAAAGCGTCTACCAGAGCGAGACAAAGCAAAGCACGCGGACTCAGATGGTTCATTCGCAAATGAAACAGAGGACGGGTAGCGGCAGCCCGTTAAAAAGATGCAAAAAAAAAAGGTAGACAAAGCCAATAGTAGAAGCGACGAAGCCACCGTTTTTGGAGTTGGTCATGTTGAGTCATTATCAGGGAGTAGCTCTCTCAGGAAAGCAATGCACATAAAGGTAGAAGAATGAGGAGGGGAGAGAGGTCGATGTGTAAGAGAAGTGAATGTGCACGCGATAGGGGCTACCGCTTCAACGAGCTGCGATTCAACGCTTCAAGCAACTCGGGTCGATTCGCGAGGGCAGTGGCCGCTTGGGCATAAGCCACCCATTGCCGTTTCCGCTTGTGCATCTCGGGCCATTCGGTTTCCTCTCGCTCGACGGAGACTTCAAAGAACTGATATGAGGCTTTGGGCGCTTGCGCCGTGAGAAGGCCGGACGGTCTCATGTCTGGGATGAGTCCCAGATCTCTGATGACAATGCAGATGACACCGGCTTCCTCCCAGGCCTCACGGCATGCAGCCTGCTCTGCGGTTTTTTCATCGAGCTCCCATCCACCCTTGGGGAGCACCCAACCTCCGGGTCCTGCGGACTGAATCATGAGGACTTTGGTCTTGTCGGCGGAAATAGGGACAACGCCGGCTACCAGTCGCTCGCCTTTTGAACCGTACCCTATGACAAGCCGTTAGAGTCAGGAAACACAGGGACGGTGTAGACGTAAGGGGGACGGGTCTCCCCTCCCCCCACGTGCGCAGCCGCAAAGCAACATCAGCGATAACTCACGTTGGTTTTTCCGCCCAACGCGGGCTTCCATAGATCGTATTTGAGCCATTGTGATAGACAATCGAATATCCTTGGATTTACTCCGAGATTTGAGTGGGGAGAAAGGAAAGTCCCCGGGGAAATGAAGAAAGAGAGAAAAAAAGGAAAGACCAGGGATATCAAAAAGATCAAGGAAAATCCAATAGATGATGCTCTATCAAGCTCCCTCGGAGCCTGTCAGGTCTCTGAGGTGAGAGTGAAAGCTCCAGGTGTCTGAGGGTGGTGTAGAGGAGCGGGAGTACAGCGTGAGGGCGGTCGGGGGGGGGGGAGGGGATTTTTTTTTTTTTTCCCTTTGGATGTTGCGAAGTCAATGGAGATCAGGTCTTCCCGTTTATGCCTGACGGGGGATTGGAGTAGTAAGTGGAAATAGGCATGGTTTTGAAAAGAAGATCTGAGAAATGGGAGGTTATTCAGGATGGAGAAATGAAGGGAAGTGGGAATGGAGGGGCACCGGCGGCGCAGTCCGGGAAAAGAGTCAAGGTTGCTTTTTTTTTATCTCATTTTTTATTATTTTCTTTTTACATATTTACAGTCTTTGTCCACTAGAGTCACTAGAGTTACTAGTCACTACAGTCACTAGAGAAAAGAGTCCTAGTAATGAGTTCAATGCTCTTGGGCTTTTCTCCTTTTCACTCTATATGGTCATGTGACTCTCCAGATCAAAGACCCATGTGAGATGTTTCGATATTTTGCTAGATTTTACTAGATTTACTATATTTGCTACAATCTGATATAATTCAATGTAATCTATCGCTAGTTAGTTGCCCTATAATTTAACCTTCAAATGTGCGAGTAATGAGCCTCTCAAAAACCTACGGGATTTGCTGGTACCGAGAAGGGGGAAGTTCGGCCGATTTGACGAGAAACTATAAGATCGGCTATGTGGCTTAAGAAATGAGATACATACACGGCTTAAAAAGCTATAGACATAAAACGCATCAGTCCACATAAACCGTAGACATATGCCCCTTACCGTATAGACCGTATTTACAAATCACCGACTTTCCCGACTTCAACTTTCAATCTCTCTCCCCCCCCCATATCACTCACGTCCAGTGCACGCCAACACATCTCCGAACTAAAGATGCAACGGGTTGACGCCGAACGCGCGCGAAAGCTGTCGCTATTCCGTCCACTGGGTAGGTCTCATACGTCCCACTCTCCTGCAGGGAACCACTGAGATAGACCTCTGTTACCCCGTGGCGCTTCCACTGGCCCAGAGCGCTACCACTTGGGGGAATTCCGCGGGGATATCAACGCCAATTCCTGCAGTTCTTTCATCGTCTAACCTCTTATGCAAAGACTAACGTGATGTGATATCCTGTCAGGTTACCAAAAGAACTCGTGTGGTTACTGCAAGTCCAAAGATGGAAGTTTGTTGTCCCTACCCCTACTTTGTTTCCTTTTTTTTTCTCTTCTAGGGCTAGAAAAGTTAGAAAGGCTGACATGTAAAAGGTGAATCGTACTACACCAATTCCACCTCCGTACTCCCGGAACATTATGAAGAGCTGATCAATGGCGGCTGGCGACGGTATGATCCCCGGTTTAATTTCCCTGTAACCCACCAGACTGACATCTTTTAGATCGGGAAATCTCTACTATAAACAAAACCTACTTCGGTCTTGTTGCCCTCATTATACTTTGAGACTAGAGGCATCCGCTTACCGGCCCCGCCGCGATCAACGCAAGGCCATCAACAAGTGGAACAAATTCATCCTTGGTCCCGAGTATATGCGAAAGGCAGCCCGGCTTTGTCCGCAAACCCGCGAGTATGCATTTCTATATTTAGTAAATTTGATATCAGATTATTGCTAACCAATCCATAGAGAGAAAAAGCATCGCAAGTGCAATTTCGACCTTTTGTCGGCTGTCCACCAGAGTGAGTACGACCACGTCAAACGGCCAATTGACCCTGCTACCAAGCTTCCCATCGAACCAGCGCACCGATTCGAAATCACCATTGAAGGTGACTCTGTGTCGCAGGCAAAGTTCGAGCTGTTCCTCAAGTACCAAACGGCCATCCACAAAGAGGATGTCTCTCACTGGAAACCCAAGGACTTTCAACGCTTCTTATGCGCAGGCATCAAGCGAACGCCAAATCCCCTAACAACCACCAATGCTTCTGAGAAGAAACTCGGTTCATGGCATCAGTGCTATCGTCTTGATGGCGAGCTCATTGCTGTTGCAGTATTGGACCTAGTCCCCAACGGTGTCAGCTCCGTCTACGTCTTGTAAGCTGATGGCTGATTGCACCTTGAAACACCAAAGTATGTGGTAAGCTGACACCACACAGCTACGATCCCGCATACGAGGAATGGGAGATCGGCAAGCTGAGCGCCATACGCGAAATTGCCTTCTCGGTCGAGAATCAGTATATGTACTACTACATGGGTATGTCGCAATTGTGGAACTAGTCCCTATTCGATGCGCTTCTAACTCTCAAAATACAGGGTACTACATTCACACCTGCCAGAAGATGCGTTATAAGGCCAATTTCCGCCCCCAGTACATCCTCGGTATGTCCCACACGTGTCTTAGTACATACTCTTTGTACCACAAGAAAACTGTGCACAACATCTGACCCTTTTCTCTGTTACTCAGACCCTGAATCCTGCGACTGGGACCCGCTTGATGGGGAAATGACAGAGAAACTCAATTCCCGTCCCTATGTCTCTTTGTCTCGGGACCGATCGTCTTCCCCTGCACCTCAAGTCTCAAAAAGTGACGCCAACCTAGAGGAGGTTTCCCTTTTTGATATTGGTATGCCCGGTGCTCTTACTGTGCCCGAAGTGGAAGCACTGGACCTGGATCATTGGCTGCTGTTCTTCAATGGCAACTTTGTTCACATGAAGGTGCGCATCTATCTTTTATCCGAACCCCTTGAGTCAGAGGGACGTCTTTACTAAATTCAATTAGGATCTGGTCAAATGGGAAACCATGTCAATGACTTCGCCAATGTCTATCAAGGGAATCGTCGCCGAGTTGGCCGCAGTCCTGGGTCCTAAGATTGTCCGAAACAGCGCAGTGGACTTGCTCGGTTGATCAAAGACGATATTTCAGGGGCAAGCTTTGAGCATATGTTCACCATCATGAAGACTGATCGGGGTTCCAAAGATCAGGAAAGGAAATGGAACAGAATAGATTAATTGTGTAGAAGAATTCATTCACGTGCAATTCAGTCAGCTCAGCCAAATGGAGATAGTCTCTTCTAGATCCCAACAATATAACCCTTAGCACCGAACGTCCTTGAGTCATAGAAGCTCCCAGTTTATATTGTCGGCCTTGGGCCCACAATGGGGTCATGTAGCTAGTTGGATCTCTCCTCTCTTCCTTTCTCCTATCCACTCTGTTCCATAATGAATCAACAACCTCTTTCTCTCTAGAAAACTCACTCATTGAATGTAATTCTTTAAGTATGTCCTATATTTATAGACTATAACAAATTAACTACTATAATCCCTCACATTGATATGTGATGTGTATACTCAGGTTCCAACGTCAGAGATCAATCGCTCTTTCCTCTCCGCGCGTACCTACCTAACTAGGAAGCCACGGTTTAGTATTTAAATTTCGTCCGCAAAATCTCTTCTTACTTCTCTCATTTTCCTACCACTCATGCCCTCTCATCCGGGCCATCTTTTGGAACCTGGGTACGATCGTGTCTCGTATGCGCTGGCCCTTGAAAGGGAGATGCTCGACCAGGTTTAAAGTCACGGCGCACAGGCTCCGTCCATGGGTGGGAAATAGACCTGATTTCCCGGTAAGCAGCACCTCTCACAACACCATATACACAAAACCAGCCCTCAGTCATACCTAAGGGCAGGATAGGGTAACACCAGTGACACTTATCAAAAGACATAATGAGTAGTATTTGGTCACTTTTGTAACCCTGGTGGTTGCCAGTTCAGGATTGAGTATCTGGAATAAAAACGGCGGTCTAAAATTGTAGCTTGTGAAAAATGTTTGCGGATTCGAGGATAGAAGCTCGAGCTTTGTATAAACTCCACAAGCTGAGATCTACTTTTCGATTTTCCTCACATCTCCAACTTGATACAATGCACCTTTTCCGTACCATCTATAAAGCCCTGGAGAATGCTTTTATATACGGCAACCACCTCGCATTGGAGACGGTTTATGGGGTTTCCGCCGTTAGACATCTTGATACGTACGTCGGGGGTCTACCGTTGAGTGATTTTATGCTTTGGCAGTGCCACCAAGATACTGATATAGAGGTCGTGGGGATGAACTGGCCTGATTTGAGAAGATGGGATATAGGTTTGATTTTGTTGAGATGGCAAAGCAGAAGAAGAGCTATGGCTCACGTGTGATTTGACGACAGGTCTGATCAGTCTGATACAGATGTATACTTTCCGATTGAGTACCAGACTTTGTTTTGGACGAACGGCGATTCTGGTGTGACGAACGAAGCCGGAATGACTGATGAAAAGTTGAGGTATATCTGGAACACTGTCTGTAAGATCTAAATAGAGCCCTGCAGTTGGCTCAATGGGGGTGTCTTATTCTGCGTTGATGAGCAGTTCGCCGTTGACCAAACGGTCATCCTGGTATCAGTTGAAGGGTATGCTACTGACCCGGCGCATAACCTCCTCGAGCACTTGCCTTTTCCATTTGTCAAGGGGTTTCTCTTCAGGCGCATCCCTGTGGAGCTGGCAGTCTCGTGTGGAAACAAGAGCAAAAGTTGCTGGAGAGTGGTTAAGCTATTCCAGACCTGGGTGGCCATCCCCTGGCCTACTGCCCGGTGATTTCTAGGAATTAGAACCCTCGTGAACCTATCTAGCTGGGCTTGGGTACTTTGGAGTGGGAGTTTGTTGGTGCAAAGAAAGAAAATGAACAAAAGACCAAGACCCAATTTGCGTTTTAATTCTCATAACTCTCAGGTAACCCTCAGTTGTCTTATGTCGCTACGCAAGGTATGACTCTACGATACTATAAGGCAGTAAAAAACGTAAACAGTATAGAGGACTCTTCTATATATAAAACAAGGCCTTGTATGAAAGTTGCAAAAAAACAATGGATATGAACAGCAAGAAGATTCATTCATACATCCACAAAAGAAACCCATAACTGCACGGCTCCATGAAGTGAAGTAAAACCAGCTGGCGCCACATGTTTCTATCCCTTTTCCTCGCAATTCTGCCCATTCGCCACGAAAAGAAAAAGAAAAAGAAAACAAAGCAGTCATCCAAAGAGGCACAGCAGGTAAGCCACCATATTCCCAAATGCCCGCAGCCGCGGATGCCTTGTCAACATATGCCCTAGAAAACGCCAGAGAGGAGACAAAAGAACCTAACCGAAAACAGGATGCTATGCCACAAATGAGGCCAAAGGAAGCAAAGATAATAAATAAGATCAGACCTGAAGCCATTCACTCATCATCATCATCCAACCCATCAATCATAGCCCGACTCGGCTTCCTCCCAGCCCCATACACTAGCTCCATAAGCTTCGCCTTCTGTTTCTCCCGAACAGTCCGTAGATAATCGTACGTCCCCTCTAACCCACGGATCTGTCCATCGATCACGGCCTCGACGGGCCCAAGCATTCGACCCGTAGAGCCGGATTGCCCATTTCCACTGCCCCCACCCCCATCAATCGAGCCAACAAAGCTGACAGAGTCATTCCGACGAACAAGTGGACTAACTAACTTCCTGCGCAGCGTCTCGAGGTTGACCTTTAACGTGAGTAGTCGGCCGCGATGGTCGACGAGGAGGTGTTTATTGGCGACAGTGCGACTGCGCACATTCGCAAGGAGTTTCTTGTTCTTCTCGTATTTGCGAACGGCCGCGGCATCAGGTCCCAGCACGCGCGTCCACAGAGAAGAAAGCATCTCGCCCTCTGCGCGTTCTTGGGCGTCTGATTCGCGGACTACCGTGCGCTGCAGATTGAGGAATTGGCGGTCGATGGACTCGAAGAGCGCGAAGAGAGCGGTTGAGTGGGTGAGTTCGCTGTTTATTGACTCTTCCAGAACCGAGAGGAACTCTGTGAAGGTGCGGGTTAGGGTTGTGCGTGTGCGCTGTGCGGAGGTCGGCCCGAAGACGGCCATTACGAGGTGGCCGAGGGGCGTTGTTGTTGTTGAGGTTGCCGAGACGCCGTTGTCGGAGATTTGGGCTGAGCGTTCAAGTGCGCCGAGGCGTGAGAGCATGTTGTGCATGTTATCGAAGACGATTGTGGGGAGGGTGCTGGGCGGCTGGGCGGAGAGGGTCTCGAGCTCGCGCTTGGCCCAGTCCATTACTATTAGAATGGAGTCGATGTCTGAGTCGACGTTTGCGAAGAAGCGGGTTAGCTCGAGGGAGAGGGACTTGAGGGAGTCGGAGAGTTCGTCGAGTTGGCGCACGATTATGGGGGCGCTGGTCATGTTTGTGCCGCGGACGGACTCGCTCAGGTCCCAGACTGCGACACCGGTTTCTTGCAGGGTGCCGATTTGCTGAACGCCGTTTTCTGAGTAGTATATCAGTGGTTCGAAGGAGCGTGCGAAGCCGGATAGCTTTACTAGATCGGGGATCGATTGCGGGAGGCCTGGGAGGACCAGGGCACGCATGAACGCGACTGAGAGGAGGAGGATTATGATAGATAAGGTGGTGTTAGACTTGGAGCTGGTCATGCGCTCGAACTTTGAGCGCAGGTAGCCAAACAACGCGGCAATAGGTTCTCGGTGCTGGACTTCTGCACGCACTGCAAAGCGAATGTCTTTATACATTCACAACAATCGTTAGTATACCCGCGCCTGCAACTGAAACCAGATCAGACAGGGCCTACAGTTGCTCAGATTCTCCGCGCCAAAGCCCACCCCGTCGTCCTCGGGGCTGTGGCGAGGTGTGCGTCCTGTCGGAGCCGGGGGCGGGCTTGGGGATCTTCCATGGAGGGGGGTATCTGCACCCGCCGGTAGAGGCACATTAGCCGCAACAGAGATGTCGCCCGGTGTGGCACGATCGACCTGTCTACTCTTCGTGGGACTCTCGAGCGCATCCTCATACTGTGGGCTTGGTTCGCGCGACTGGGATGGGGAAACACTCAGCCCGATTGTGGGTTTCAGCTGCAAGCGATCCTTATTGGGGTTATCTTTGCGCAGGTAGGGCTGGTGGCGATACCATCCACTGCCCTGGACGTATTCGGGTTGGTGGAAGCCTGGAGGTGACCAGCGCTCCTGGGCGGGGTCCTCGATCTCTGCATCTTCCCCATCTGAGTCTTCAGACCGGAATCCGGAGTGTTGGGATGGCAGAGCGAACATTGGGGATCTGTGGGGGTTGGTATTGTTCTCGAAGTCTTCGAGCGACGCGTCCAGGGATGGATGGTCGTCGAAGACGTTGTCTAACTCGTCCAGCATCCCGGACGGCGTATCGCGATAGTCGCGCCTCGGAAGAAGAGGCACTGCAGTTCTCAGCGACGAAGCGCAGATCAATGCCTATGAGTGGCGAACACTTGCGGTTGAACCGCTTTAACTTGATTAAAATAGAGTGGTTAGTACAGCGCTGGGACGGATGTCTCATGCGCTAGCCGTTACAGAAGATATCTGCGCAATCAACCCCACGACAAAGATGCGATAAGGTATGATGCGATGCGATGCGACAAAGCAGGTACTGGATTCTAAATGGCGATACGGGATATCTCCGAGATAGCATTCGATAGTTGGTGTTGGACAAGATGTGGTCAGCAAACGCGCTGGAGATTAATATGAAACTGGGATCGAAACGCCTTGGGTGCAGGAGGAAGACGAGAAAGCATCCCCCTCACTTGTATCCAGGTCGAGGAGGTTGGGCCAATCAGCCTGACCCCCTGCTCAGTCATGTGCTCACTCTGGAGACTCGAGGGCCAACACGGCGTGTACATATCAGATACCGAAAATGTACAAGGGTGATACTCGACAAGTACTTCCAGTTTGTGTGGTCCGAGCAATTAGTATGGATGTACTCGTCAAGTACCAGTCAAGTATACTCCGTGCCTGACCGCCCATGTTTGCCCAATCGATACATTCAGGCCCCAACCAATCATAACTCAGACCTCCATGATAATCCGGAGAATCTCAAAACACTTACAAACCTTCGTTTGCAGTTCTATAAAAAGAGTTGAAATAAGAGGAGAAGATCAAATCTATTGTGGGTCATGGAAATTGTAATAAAAATACAGGCCCGGTCCTTGGGAGAGTAATCAACCCATGGCGCCATCCCAGACTTCTATGGGGAGAAACAGAACAAAAAGCCGGGGAATAAAAAAGAACATCAGGTCGTTTATGCGGTGTTTTCCTTGAGGTAGCTATGTGGTTGTTAGTTGGATACTGAGATGTGGGTTCGCGGGTAACGTACGTGATGAGATCGTTGCGCTCCTTGGTCTTCTTGAGACCACCGAAGGCCATCTTGGTACCGGGGATGAACTTCTTGGGGTTCTCGAGGTAGGAGAACTATGAATCGTTAGCGGCCGATCGGAGGCTGAGCTGGAAGGTAGTTGGCACTTACCAGACTGTTCTCGTTCCACTCAACATTGGCCTGCTTGTTGGCGTCGGTGTAGGCGTAACCCTCGGAGGAGCCAGTCTTACGGCCGAAGAGACCGTGGAGGTTGGGGCCGACCTTGTGGGGACCGCCAGCCTCGGTGGTGTGGCACTGGGCGCAACGGGTCTAAAAAAAGAGCTGTTAGTTTTCTTCTTTCCTTTGTCTGCGCGTGAAGCAATAAAGAACGTACCTGGAAGAGCTTGGCACCCTTGGCGGCGTCACCTGAAGCGAAGCTGAGATTAGCGATCCTGTCGGCTTCTTTTTTGGCTTCTTGAATGAGGGCCTCTGCACGCTCGGCCTCACGCATATCGATGGTCGTCAAGGTACAGAGCACATCGAAGGTAGTCATGTTGAATAACTGATGCGTGGTGGTTTGGGGGGAAGGTTGCAGCGATCCGCAATTGAGAGGTAGTTAGGTTGACGAGGAGTCGCAATGTGAGAGGCAAGGAAATGTGTCAATCGCTATCCCAGGTAACAAACAGTGTCGCCATTTAGGAGTTGGATACCCTCACTTCCTTCCTTCGACCTCCACGGCATCCATGGCGACTCCCCGTTCAACCTGTGAGCTCAATGGGGGAAGGGAGGTAGCTTACCAGGGGCGAAAGATTCTTGCTTCTTAGGGGCCATTGTGAAGTATTAAATGAAGATAATAAAAAGTTATTATGACACTGTACTGTACAGAAAAATCTGGGAAGGGAGAAAAGAAAATCTGGTTATTTGTACTTGGCCCCGACGCTCTCTCTCGTAATCCGCCTCTCCACCAATCAGAAGCCAGATGATTCAGGTAGACGGGCGCAACCGGGAACTTCGGTGTGTCTGTTATATACTCCGATACGCTTCTAGGTTCTACATTCTTGCTCGGACTCTTCAATGCTTGGAACAACTGGAACTCACAGCTTACTCGTGGCAAAGAACTAACATGCACACTCCATATTCCGCCCCCATGATATCATCACTTCATCATTAGCTCAGAACATTGTAGATGCGGGTTCTTGACCAGCATGTTGTGCATATACAAGCTTCAAGCTTCACAAACTGAAACATCGAATTTCTCTCCCATACCGTGTCCATATTCCCCCGGTCATCTCTCGTGCGCGTCCCCCTTTCTCCCTGGAGAACTGGAGCAACTTCCTGATCCACCCCGGCTTCGAAATAGCGGGATTCCCATTCGCCCGAGCTGCTCCGCTGGTGGTCCGATGTGTGGATCCTGAGGCAGAAACGGTTTATTCTCGATTCATTCTCGGCAGCGAATGCGATTTTGCCTGATGCCGAGGCAGTAGAGTTGACAATGAACTTTCATTAGTTTGTTTACATGTAGTATGAAATGACGCTGACTACCCCCTATAGTTTAGAGCTATTTCTCGGACATTTTCAATTGGTGGGAAACACGGGAAATACTGGATACTAAACCATGTGAAATTTCCCAAGGTCAAGTGGCCTCACTTTTTTTTTCCCAGCCCCAAAATAGTTAGGATATGCGGTCAGCTGGGTGCATCTCGACTGAAATCGGCATCCGATGCCCCGATAGAGTCACGTGATATAAAACCTTCTCCAAAAATTGCATCTACGGTTCCACATCTAGATAAGTCAACAAGATCAGCCCAACCCCTCCACACGAGCAAAAGGCCAAGAACAGCAATCCCAACATGCCAACTCCAATCCCGGGCTTCCTCCTCCCACGAGGCCCACCCTCGGCGTTGACCCTGCGTGCCCTCCAACGCCAAAGCGCGCGACGCAGCTTCACCTCGACCAGCGCCACGTTGAGAAAAGCTAGTAAAGGCAACACCAATCCCAATGCCAATTCCAAACCCCGCGTTCTCGCAAAACCCGACAGATTCCGCCCTCCGTCGCATCCCCAACGCCTCACGACTCCATCTCCGAAGAATGTACCCGCAGGCCAACCATTCGAGTATGGCCCGCGCACGACAGAGAAAGAGCGCGTGCAGCAGAGCAAGACGCAGTACCCGGGCATGTTCCCGCCAGAGGGGACAGTGATGTTTAAGTTTCTGACGAGCAAGTGGATCCACATTTGGATTGCATTGGTGAGTTACCCACAGCACAAACAATAGTTCTGGGTGTATCTCCAGATCTAGCTTCGGATCTGAATTTGCCAAAAGCAGCCCCGGCAGATTTAGTAAACAATTAACTAACCAATCACACAGAGCGTCCTAGTCTCCTGCGCCGGGTTCACCTTCACAACAAACTTCAAAGCAACCTCTCCGTTCGCGCACCTGCTACCATCGTGGTCGGGTCTTCTGACGTCGCCCGTCAGCACTATCTCGCAGGCATTCTCTGTGTGGCGCATGCATGTGCAACATAACTCGATGCGCGTGCGGGAGCAGCGACACCGCCGCGTTGAGGACGCGGAAAAGAGGAAGCAGTACCGTATTGCGCATGGGCTTGAGGAGGCGGAGCCTGAGAAGAAGAAAGATGAGGGTGCTAATGAGGTTGATTCTCAGTCTCCTGTTGCTGCTGTTGAGGGTACAGAGGAGTTTGTTGATTGGGAGGGGAATAAGAAGCCTGTCAAGAAGTGGTTGGGAATTTGGTGATTGCTATTCTCTACTTACCTTGGGAGGTAGGTTATTTCATCCATATCTACGGGTGATATAACTATCCAGTTATAGCACAGCCTACATAGGCTACACATGCTGTCTATGTGGTTTGACTGTGGGTATGTATCAACGGGTCCTATATGAGAGGGACTTTCGAACACCCCTCAAGCAGTGACGTTGGTGTAAATGGAGTTCAATCCATTTTGTATATTAGTGTCCAGCTACGATAGGAGGATTATCTCAACTTCACTTGAACGATGAACAAAAACGATTTAATCAAAAGACAACGCTTTTCTCCAAACTCCAGAAACAGCGACCTATCAAATCAGATATCAAAGTCGCAACCTGAAAGTAATGCTGTACTTGTTTACACATACATGGCCATGAGATATGGATCGAAGTAAGAAATCATTGCACCTCAACCCCCTCAAGTCCCTCAAGGACTTCCTCGCCAACACCGCCCTTACTGAGGACAGTCTTAACCATGCGTGCAATGACACTGCGCTTGACACCACCCCTTCGTGGACGCCAGACACCCTCGACCTCTTCCTGACCACCAGATTCCTCCCCAGGCGCCGCAGAAGCACCGAGCATATTGACATTCTCGGAATTGGGGATACCAGGCTGGGTAAGGCGGGAGGGGGGATCGATCGAGCGGATCGAGAGCAATTTCAAAGTCTCAGAATCACTGTTGCGCGTAACAGAGATAGCCAGGACGGCGTCTGCGACGGCGATTTCTTCACGGTTAGGATCGAAGATGACGTTGTCGCCGACGGAGATCACAAGCAGCGTTACGGGAGGGCGGACGGGGTATGATGGTGCGGCGGAGAGAGGAGATTTGGAAGTATTGGAGCGTGGGTAGAGATACTCCGCGGCAGCCCAGTCATCGTCGAAGAAGGGATCTTCTTCACCCGTGGACTTGAGTTTCGGTAGCTTAGTGCTGAGGAGTGCGAGGTGGGTTGTGAGCGAGAGGAGGGGGAGGGGGTATGCGAGGGGTTGGGAGAGGAGCAGGACCTGGTAAAAACATGTTAGCAGTGATCAAATGATACCTTTGGAACCCAAAGACCGAATACGTTCTGAGAAACTTACATCAATATACAAGCGCCAATGCCACCGCTTGTTAATAACGAGTCTTCCCTTCAACCCACCAGCCATCTCCTTCGCGCCATCCCCATCCCCACCAGCAACAGAGCCAACCAGACTCTCCCGCATCATCTCACCCAAAAACACAGGCAGGGCATCATCGTCCCTAAACCCGGGGATCTCGATCGACATCTGCACCCACTCTCCCTGTCCCGAAACAGCGGCTGAGCCCTGCTCGCCCTCGCGGTTCAGTGCATCGCCATGCTGCGCCAGACTGCGTGAGTCGAGCGTATCGGCTGCGAGAACGGTCTTCTCGACTTCCGCTTTCACGCCGACGATCGCTTGCGTGCCGTCTGCGAACCCGATGCGCGCGCTGCCGTTCGCACCAGGCAGAATGGTGGTCTCGGCGGAGAGAGGACGGAATTGTGTGGGCGAGCGGCCATCTGGTCGGATTGGGTTCTTGGGTAGGCTGAGGGAGGTGTAGAGGTAGGAGAGTTCGGCGGGTGAGAGGTGGGGGACTTGAGAGGCGGAGGAGGCTTGTCTTTGGTTTGACATTTTGGCGGAATTGGTATTTGTGTATGGCGGGCAAAATATAGTGCTGTATTTTAAAGGATAGAGCTGGAGTTGGGTTGCGCGAGGTTAAGCTCGTAGCTGTTGGTGGGCGGTTTGATTTTGTGGTGATCGGCCCGCGATTTGTGAAAAGTGCTTGCTGGGGCGCGTTCTAGATATGCTAAGGTGTTGGTGGCTTCTATTCCAAGCTATTGCCAGTCTAGTTTCGACTGGTGAGGTAGTGCCGGGAAGCAATTGAGGACAAGAAAAAAAGTTGGTAGAGTCGAGCAGAGCAGTCTCAATCAGGAAATCTTGATGGGCGACGGATGATCGTTGTTCCGCTGATATCGATCCATGTACAGCGTACGAGTATAGATGCTATGTGATCTTTCTCCATTCACTATGAAATTGTGAGATAGAATGACCTCTTTTCTACAGTATGATATAATTTTCTACGTAGGTTGAATCTACAGTCTTTTCGGTCGACAATCCCACCTTCCCGCGCTGCTACTCATGTTCCATTGCCACTAGCCCCCCCTCCAACCAATTAATTCGATAGAAACCTGAGAGAAATAATAAAGAAGTAAGCCTTACAAACAAGTATAAAGTCTTAGTATAATATTTGGAGTAGATTCATTGCATATGTAGTAAGCTGTATGTATGGGCATGGCACAACGGCCAAAGGGGGATGTATATTACAAGAGTATAGAACGGACTGGATCCAAGCCAGCACATTGAGATGGGGTGGGAGGAAATGATACAAGAAATCGAAGCAGGAGGTAGGGCTATGACAGGAATATGTAAATGCAGGGATAAATAAGTGATAGAAAAATGATAAACAAGAAGAATAAAAATGGGAATAGCGGTAGCCTGACAATGTACAAGCGTGGGAAGAAAGGGGGGGGAATTATATAAACAAATGAAAAGAGCGCAATATTCATCGAGAATGATGTGCAGATGTGCAGATCCGATATCAGATGTATCGGATGAAGAGAGGGTGACCTAATAAGGTAGAAATGCGGTGTATGATGCGACTTGCGCATGTGGTATCAAATGTCAAAGAAAGAAATCACGCCCCGAGTAAATGGTAAAACGAAAGGACTCCATGAAAAGGAAAAAGAAACGAGGCCCGGATCCATCTATAAAAATGCCTGTAGGGGTATGAAGTAGGGGAAATGAGAAACTTGCAACGAGGGCGAAAGTCCAATGCCCATATGTGAAAAAGAAAAACAAGATAAAACACCTTCTGAAATGGCCAGACACCTAGTGAAAAAAAAACAAAAAAAAAACCCGAATTCATACGCCTTGAGCTATGTTGCTCGGTGTTTGTTCTGTTGTTGTGCAATTTTGCCGAATTTTGTGCTTTTCGCAATCGTAAAGGATGTGGTGTGGTGCAAAGATGGTGGATGGGGCACTTAGATATAGTTGGATCCACGGGCGAAG